TTCAAAAGTACATACATTCATACATACATACATACATACATACATACATACATAAGTGCAGCGGCATCTAGGGGTGAGCATTGTACATATGTATGTATGTAAGCTGCAAAGGAAACGCTAAATGCATCTTCAAAAGTCTGCCACTCGAGGACAAGGGTATGTCTTTGTCTCAGTTCATGTTTACTTGTACTTGTACTTGTACTTAGTATGTACTCGTAATGATAATCTCTAACCATCTTTTCAGTGTATGTATGTAAATATACTATGTACACTGGGACACAATGCACTCTTGGTATTATAGGACAACATACATACATGTATACAGATAGGCAGATAATTACCAGCTTAAGATTACACATTACAATTCCAGGAAATTACAGATCGATTTTCGGACTGTCTGAAACATGTAAGATGGCCGCCGTTATTGTTTTGCCAATTTTATATAAATATTTTCATATATGTAAAATGTTAATTGCAAAAATGTAAAGAAAAACGAGAAGGAACGTGTGAGTGGCTTCTGGGGACGCGACTCTACTTATACCCGTACTCAGTCAGTATATACTACATACTACAAAAAAAATGTTGAAATACACTTGTAGCAGTGAGATATCACATGAGTCTGGAAACAAAATGTGGTTTCTCTAGCTCTTATAGTCTCTGAGATCTAGGCGCTCATCAAGACGGACAGACGGACAGACGGACGGACATGGCTATATCGACTCGGCTATTGGTGCTGATCAAGAATATATATACTTTATGGGGTCGGAAACGTTTCCTTCTCTGCGTTGCACACAACCACTTTTACCACAAATACAAAATAATACCCCTTAACTCTTTTTTGAGTACGGGTATAAAAAGGCATAAAGCATAAAGACTAGCACATCCAATACAGTGGTTGTTGTTCAATCAGATAGTAGTGCCGCACGCCACCACTTTCCAAACTCATTTTGAGATATTTTTAGTCTTCCAAATTGAACGAGTTATAGCATTACAGAAAGACTGTATGTAAAGGCAACCAGAAGAAACTCCGTTACATTTTAATTCCATCTTCTTGTTTTATATGACGTTAGAAAACTACCCATTAACTCTGCTGTTCAATAACAAAACAAATAAATTAAGAAAAGTCACCATCCAGTCATCTCAGTTTAGTTATTTAATAATTTGATGTAAGACATTTTTTTGAGCTTAGAGGAATTCATTTTCGGTCCAGAAGAGGACCCCTAAGAGTCAGACTAAAAACTAAAGGGAGGACGTATAATGGAATAATGGAATTGTAAACTAAGTTGCATGCACTCTCACTATTGTATTTAATCCAATTAACTATAAGAAGTTCACTGAAAATCGATTTTGTATGCGAAAAACTTCTCTTTTGGAGGATGGTCGTAGATGGCCAAAGCCTTCAATATGCTCAGAAGTTATAAAACAAAATTTTATATCGCTCTGCCAGTGATGTGACATTTCGTAGATGTCTGGTTACACATTATTTAATGCAAGAAGTCCCCCAAAGCTTCGCTTTTGGGTCAGAGGCTACCACAGAGTCCCATGGGGCTTAAATTTTGTTTAATTTGGAAGACCAAAAATATCCCAAAAAGAGTTTGGAAAGTGATGTTGTGCGGCATTGAACACAACTCTGTGTAAAATTGTTAAAAAAAAATTGGTAAAATTCGACTTCTCGTTGGAAACTTTAGCAACAAATACTACATAAATACATACATATGTACATATGTATGTACATACCTAAAACTGAAAGTCAAAGGATCAAAAAGAGGAGACGCACACACACACACACACACACATAAAGATATGTTTCTCCCTTAAACACAAACACTGATACAACAAAAATACGAAAAATACGCGCTGGCATTTATACGAAATAAAAACAAAACAAACCCAAGGCGAAGCAAATTAATAAACTTCTGCTAACTGTGCAAGTGTGTAACGGCAAATGAACAAAAAACCCAGAGGCAGGCCAGCAAGAGTCAACAACAACAACAACAACAACAACAATAACGAGGACAGGGCAGGACAGGACAGGACAGGGCAGGGCAGGGCTGGGCTGGCCTGGGCATGGCTAGGCAGGAAACCTCCCTCGCAAACGGAAACTCATTTGCCAACAGTTTGAAACCAACTTCCGGCCCACTGACGACGACTACGACTACGACAAGGGCAGCCAGCACCCAAGCACCGGCGACAAATGCATGACAAAAGTCACATTTAAAAGAGAGACAGGGAGACACACAGAGAGAGACACACAGAGAGAGAGAGTTAGTAAGAGAGAGAAAAATGGAAAGTGGAAGCAAGGGGGAATGAGCTGAGCGTGCGAGAGTTAACATAAGGCAGGAACCCCAAAAAAGTATCCGAAAATAAATTCGCGTAGCTCCTTCAGCATCTGACAGAACATGAAATTAAAAGCTAAAGAATTATGAAAGTTCAAAATCGGATTTGAAATTTGAAATTTTACTTTTACTGTTACGAGTACTTACCGTTACCTGGGGCTGCCCCCTAATTCACAATAAAACTTCCACTGAAGCGATAAAAAATCATCAAATATTAAAAGCTGCAGCACAAAAATACTTTCGCACTGTAGTGGAGTGGAGTGAAAAATACTCCAAGCAGGTGGACAGTGCCTTACACAAGTGTATGCCCAAATCCCTACAAGGGAATAATGAGCCCTGCGCCCATTCCCATTGCATCACAGTGTCATCCGCTCCTCAAGGGTGTTCAAGGGGGAAAACGAGACATTCGCTTTATTCCAACTTAAGTAATGATCCGATCCGATCTGACCCGTGCTGTGAGCGGATTAATAAACTTGAGATGGAGATAAAACTCAGAGGAACAAAATGAGTAGGCAGCTTCACACAGAAATACGATTGATCTAAATAAGTAGTTAATAATTTAAAACATAAATACTCAGAGTTAATTATTTTTACAGCTACCAATCTGTGCGTTTGCGCAACGATCAAAATAATTCCCCTTGTTGCTGGTTCCCCCGACAGTCACACAGTCACAGGGACAGTCAAGAAGCCAATTGCATTGTCTGATATCGGGTTATAGTCATATTAATGGGCGGCAGCCCTTTGCCCCAGTTGTACCTACATACACACATAGATGGTGGATGCATTAAAGTCGCTGTCAATGACACTCCTCCCCACGACAAAGAACACACAAATGATTGATTGCCCGATTGATTGAGTCATTCAATTATAAACCAGGCCACTCCAGGTCATGCTCCCCTTCCGCTCCCGTTCCTATCTGCTCCTGCTTTTATCGTGTACGAGTATATTTTAGATAACACGACCTCGACTCGACTGCCTGCAACGTCAGTGTACCCACAAATACATTTGCCATTCTATATATGTACATGTATGTATGTATTTATAGCACGCATGGAGAGTTTACAGTACACACATACATATTTGCATTCATAAACGGATTTGTTTTACGTCATTTGAAAGTTTTAAGCTGCTAGATAAATATACATATGTAGGTACATGTAGATATGTACATCTGTATGTATGTTGGGGGAAGTAAAAATAGTTTGCGTAACATTTCTTCTAATCCCTTTTAAATGTATGTACATATTTCTGGATAGTTATTGTAAAATTTATTTTATGTGCTGAATGAAGGAATGCGAGTGACAGAGTGACAGGCTGACAGGTTGATAGGGGACAGGGGACAGGGGCCCCTCTGGTTGCACTTGGCTTGTCACTTAGCAAAGCATTTTCAATGTTTTCAATATGTGATTCACGAATATTTTGAGTGGGATCTATAATCGTGCGATTGCGGGGCAGATGCAGATGCTGGAAGAGTCAAAGTAGTGAACCATGGTGCAGTTAGCTTAAATAAATGCTAAATGGAATAGATAAATATACATATGTATGTATGTAATTCAAAGCTGTCTGTTTCTGTTCTGAGTCTGAGTCTGAGCCATGCATCCGGGGAGCCTTTGTTAGTCGCGCTCACCAGTGGCGGCCTGGCGGCCTGGCGGCCTGTCATTAAAGAGCCGAGCAGAAGAGCAGTGAGAGCAGTTAAAGTCGCACGCAAGCGACTCAACTTGATTGGAACGGCACGGAGAGAAGTGGAGAGGACAGGACAGGACAGGAGTGTATAGAAGAGGTCGATGGGTCGATGTGGGAAAGTGCGTGTGGTAATGTCAAAATGGTTATATGTACATATGTATGTACATATTTATGTATGTATGTACAAGTTTGCGTTTGGCACACGAACGCACACGCACAAACAAATAAGAAACACGCACACAAACAGAGAGAGAAACAGAGAGAGAGAGAGAAAAACCTACTGGCAGCCGCCCCCGTGCTTCGTCATTTAATTCCAACTAACAGCAGCAGCAGCCGCCGCAGCAGCAGCAGCTGCCAGCACTGCGACTGCAGTCTTTTGCATGGCTTTGAGCTTCTCCTGACAGATTCAGGCTCCCAGGCTATGGCTCTGATCCGTTGATAAAAATACATAGCGCACATACATACATACACACATACACGCAGCAGCGCTGCTCTCGCTGTGCGTCATTTGCTACGTCAGGAGCTAGGCATGCTCTTTGGACTTGGGTTTGGTTGTGGGTTGTGGGTTGTGGGCTGTGGGTGTATGATGCGTATTCTATCTCCGACTTCAGTTTGCATTTGTATTTCTATACAATCATCAGATACATACATATGCATATATATGTATATGTGTGTGTGTACATAAATGCAATGTTAATGCAAATGTTAAAATAACGTACATATGTATGGATTTAAATATGTATGTATGTACCTATTTGTAGCATAAAGAGTATCTGCAGTCGTTATGGCAACTCAAGTCTGAAACTACGCAGCAATTTTAAGTCCCGTTCGTCATTTCTTGGTGCGTATTTGCGGAGAGCGACAGCCAAAGTCGGCTCTGGAAGCTCTCTCTCTCTCTCTCTCTCTCTGGAAGCGTGCGATTCTCAACTTCGGCTCAAAGTATTCGGGCAGAGCCGCTTAGTAGGCTTTTGCTTTACATTTATTGCAACATTGAATGTAATGTAACGTAAACAAACAATTACTCACTTCAGCGTAGATTCGTACATTAGAAAACTCAGGGAAATATTGCAACGCGGAACTCGTTCATTCATACATACATACAGTTATATTTAAATTAAACAAACAAAGAGGCACAATGTCAGATCCACAACAACGCTTTGCCATGTGCGTCTTGTTTGGTGTGTCGGGCCTCCTCTGCGGGGCCTTTGTCCAGCACGAGCTGTCGATAATGAAGCTACTCGAAGCGATCAAAAGGGATCCGTATGTGTACCACTATCGGCGCAGGCTGTATCCCCTGGTAAGTCATCACTGAGTGAGGATCGGAATGGAATGGTGGTAACCTCTGCTTCCCCTGGGAGCAGCTCTCCACCTTCAGCACAGATCACGAGGGTCGGCTGTGGAACCGCTCAGTGGGGCTGCGGGACAAGCTGTGCCAGCTGCTGGTCCCACGGCTGTACAACGCACTCCTGCCGCGACCAATGCCAGTCGAAGAGTCCTCGCCTTCTGTGGCGAACATGCTGGATCTCATCAAGTACGGTCTACCCAGCGCAGACAATCTGGTGGTGCACAGGGACTGCATTATGTCGCAGCGCACAAAGATGAGCAGCGCCAGATGGATCATCGAGCATTTTCGTGCCAGTCCATCGGCAGATGAGTCCGTGTCCGTGTCCGGGTCCGAGTCCGAGTCTGACTCCGGTGATGACTTCCACCGCTACAGCGATGCATTTCTGCTGGGCGATAACTCCGCGGAGATGGGCAAGGTCTTCAAGCGTCGCATCTGGCGCGAACTGGAGCAATACGTGAGATTGAAGACGCAGGAGTGCGGATCGGTGTACTGCTACACCGGTCCCATTTACATGCCCATGGGCAATGGCACCACATGGTGGGTGGAGTACAAGAAATCCGACTCTGTGGCCACGCCCATTCCGACGCACTACTTCAAGGTGCTGATCTTGGAGTCGAAGGTGGCCGGACAGGAGCCCACCATAAAGGCGTACATCGTTCGAAACGGCGGAAGGGGTGGTGGCAGCTTTCGGGATCGGCGCCACCGCATCGAAGACATCGAACGTTACACAGGCCTCTCCTTCAGCAAGGATCTGCAACCGACTGTACTGTACGACGATGACAACGGCACCATCCAGATTGACTTGGCCTGTGAGAACGATATCCAAAGTTTTGTAGCTGCCCCAATTGAATAGAGAAAATGTTGAAGTTGTTCTAGAATATATCTTAAGGATTGTGTTGCGCATACGTGTCCGCCTCTCTCTCCCCTCTCTCCCTGTCCCCTGCGAGTAGATCAGCTGTTGATGTATATATGTATATACAACTGTCCCCTCTGCAGGGGTGCCATAACATAAGGAAATAACTTGAGTAGATGTCAAATGTCAATTGCAATACTTAATGCTTTATCCCTACTTTAATTAATACGTTTGTGCGCTCTTTGTTTGCAGGTCTTCAGCTGCACACGCCACCCCCCTGCTCCAGAGGCACCTGGCAGGAGGCACGAGAAGGCATCAAGCATCGAAAAGCAACCGACGTCACGCGGACGCCATGGCAACCACTCTCTCTCTCTCTCTCTCGCTCGCTCTCTGTCGCTCTCTCTCTGTCTATGTTTCTGTCGCTCTGTGTGAATGGATGGGCCAGTGAAATGAATTTCTGAGAAGAGGAGCCCCCCAATCAATCCAGAAATAAACTCTGCACCCTGCTGCAAGGTGGCTGCCAACGGGCAAAAAGGGAAGCTTTAAAGAGAGCCACGACTGTGTGACTGTGTGTGTGGAGGGGCTTCGTCGTATTGGTGGGCGGGCGGCCACTTGGTGGCCAAGAAGAGGGTAGAGCCACAATCTGGTCGAATCATGAAACATTGTAAGTTCACTTTTCAGACTTAAAAATAGATTCCTAGGTAATATTCGCCCCCGACTGTTTTTCTTTTCTTTATTTTTGTTCTCCGCTGCACAGCAAATGTTTCCATACACAAGGACATGATGGAATTTGGCTAACTGCAGCAGAAGCGACTTACCGACGAAACGAAGCAGCCGCAAAGCAGCAGCGAAAATAAATCCATCTGCACAACTGTAATCCAATTCGTGGGACTACAAAAGCAATCAAAATTTTAAGAAACGAAACGCACAACAAAAGAACGAACGAAGAACGGCAAGGAGGCAATTCGCAGGATATTCCAGGATAGCAGCAGCAGCAGCAGCAGCAGAGTCTAGAGTTAGCAGAGGTAGCAGCAGCCATCAGTGGTCATGGAACCTCCCGGTGGCGTGCCACCTGACAAGGATCGACAGCTTGTGCTCAGAAATACGGCTCAGTCGGCCCAGTCGGCTCTCGTTCCCATTGTGGTTGCCGCACCCGTTACATCCAGCCCACAGCAGCAGTCCAGCAGTCAATCCACGCACTTGTCACAGTCCATTAAGCCAACGACACTAAGCCTGCAGCCACATGGCGTTGTGCATGCCACGGCCACGCAGCAGCAGCAGCAGCTATCTCCGTCGGCTGCCGCGAACAACAACGCAGCAACGGCAGCTACGGCAACGAGCAGCGGGAGCGGCAATGCCAACAGCGGCAATAGCCCTGCGTTGGCATCCACCGCCACGGCCATATCCGCCACAACGCAGGCAGCGACCGCATTTAGCGGCAGCTCCGTGGGCCACCATCACTTGCAGCACCACCAGCATCCGCATGCACAGACGCAACCAGTTACGCATCAACAACTGCTTCATGCGTTGCCAGCAGCGTCAGCAGCAACGGCATCTGCGTCACATCACCATCATCACAGCTCCATCTCCGGCCCAGGTGGCTCGGGCAGCGGGGGACTTCTTGGTGCAGGCAGCGGCAGTGGCAGCGGCAGCCAACAGCAGACCATTGAGAAGCTATCAAGACCGATGGCCTTCGACAAGGTAAAGGGTAGAGGTGGATACCGAGGGATATCGATATCGATACCGATTCTACTATATACATATATATTTCTATGGCAGATGGAAGTGCTGGTGCGCGAGATGCAGGATCAAGAACATGGTGTACCCGTGCGACAACAGAAAATGTTCCTTACATCAATACCATACGCGTTTATGGGTATGTCAATTGATTGTCCACTATCCATTATCGATTAATAATCGATTAATCCCTCTATCCCTCTATATTACTTATAGGATATGATCTGATCGAGTGGCTTATGGACCGCTTGCAAATTGAGGAATCGGAGGCTCTGAACATTGCCAATCAGCTGTGTCTGCACGGCTACTTCTTTCCGGTGAACGACTCAAAGACGCTGACCGTGAAGGACGACTCATCGCTGTACCGCTTCCAGACGCCCTACTACTGGCCATGGCAGCACAAGGCACCCGATAATGTCGAGTATGCCATTTATTTGGCCAAGCGATCGCTTCGCAATAAACAGCGCCATGCGCTCGAGGACTACGAAGCCGAGGCCTTGTCCTCGCTGCATAAGAATCTGAAGGGCAAATGGGATTTTATATCGATGCAGGCCGAGGAGCAGGTGCGCCTCGCCAAGGAGCGCAAGAAGGGGGACAAGATTGTTGGGGACTCGCAGGAGCGTGCCTACTGGCGCGTACACCGTCCACCTCCAGGCCAGTTCACGCCCCTAGAGCCCTGTCCAGTGCCTTCGCGCGACCGTCAGGGCTTCAAGCCCAACAAAAAAAAGACTGTCGACGATGTGCAGCGCGAGGTCGACTATTTGAGCAAGTCGCTGAACCGAACGCGTATGAAGATGTCGCAGGCGTGCGAGTCGCTGGTCTGCTACTCGGAGACCTTCAGTGAATACGACTTCTTTCTGCAGCCGGCATTGCCCTCGAACCCGTGGGTCACCGAGGACATTACCTTCTGGCAGCTGAACAACACCTTCGTGGACATTCCCACTGAGAAGCGAGTCAAGCGGTGGGCCATTTCGATCGAGGAGCTCGTCTCGGATCCCACGGGCCTGCAGGAGTTCACAACCTTCCTCGAGAAGGAGTACTCGCATGAGAATATTCGTTTCTGGATTGCTGTCAATCGATTGCGTCGATCCGCCCACTCCCAGGTGGCACGGAAGGTCAACGAAATTTATGAGTGAGTGTTTATCGATTAATATATCGATTAATTTGTATTTTTACAATCGATTGTTCGATTAATCTATTGATTAAGTTGTATATCGATTAAAGTGTATTTGTATATCGACTTATCGATACATTTTCTATAAATTTTGCAGAGAATTTCTGAAGCCTGGCGCACCCTGTGAGATAAACATCGATGGCAAAACGATGGAGAGTGTGCTGCGCGGTCTTAAGAACCCCTCACGCTTCACCTTCGATTCGGCCTCCGAGCACATTTACATGCTGCTGCTGAAGAAGGATTGCTATCCACGCTTCATCCGATCGGAGCACTACAAGCGACTGCTGGACACTGGCATCCAGCCCTCGTATAAGAAGCGCTTCTTCAATTTCGGCGGCGTCAGCGGTGCCAAGAAGAAGATGACAGCGGCCCTGTCCAGCCAGCCAAATCTGGGCGATGCGGGTGGATCCAGCAAGGGATCCAGCGGTGCGGGTGGCGGCCCGGGCTCCATGATGCAGGCACCCCCGCCAGGCAATCTGGCACGGCGTCGTGGCAGCGATCGCAGTCTGACGGGCTCGGCGCACGAGTTGGCTGTCATTGGGGTGAACAAGGATGCAGGTTCCAAGGTACCGCATTCCCATTCCCAGAGCAATCTCAGCGAGATTCCTTTTAGGTAAGCTGGTTTTCAAGAGAGAGAGAGAGAGAGTGAGCAAGAGAGCGAGTGAAAGAGGGTGTGTGAGTCTCCCAGGAGCATTTTACATATATTTTTCTTTTACTTGATTTATTTAGCATATAATTTGCTTAGATATTTAACAAGCAAACCAACAACGCCTAGGCTAGCATAATTTGTATTTAATTTTAAATTGCATTAATTTACTTACTTTAACTAATTAATTACTTATTTATTTACTTATTAATTTTTAATTGATTTAATTGATTTATTTATTTTCACGATGCGTACGAAATTCTGAAACAACATTGACGCAACATATCCATTTATTTATAACATACATAATTAATTGACAATTATCAACAATGCAATTACTCTGTTCTGTGTGTAATGTGTAATTATTATCATACATACTACTTATGTCATACAATACGTCGTCGCACACGCACTCACTGCAGTAGCGATTCTATTTATCGAGGCGATATGCCGCAGCGCCACATGGCGATCATCGATGTTGGGATCTATGCTGCTTACGGGAATCGCGAAAGTAGTTTACAGGCACTTCCGTAAGACATACCACATACAATAATTTGTTTCCTTTTGATTTGGTTATTCAAATCGCATTACTACTCGTATCACTTGTAACAAAATAAAAAACAAAAACTGTTCAAAAAAATCTATTATCCTTATACTCGTACTTATACTAGTATTTCTCCTCCTCCTCCTCCTCCTATTGTATTGTCGTTCGATCTGCTTTGATACCCAAGAACCCTGCCTCTGCCCCCAGCCCCCAGCCCCCAGTCCCTGTGACTCTGTTTTCTGTTTTCTTCCATTTTGTGCTGTTAATTTTGTTCTGTTTTGTCGCTATACACCCATAGGCGATACGATCTTTAGAATATGATCTGCAATTGGCTAGATCGGAAGATTGGAAGATCCAATTATGGGAATTCGATTAATTTTCATTTTACATGGATTCTTTTCCGCGTTACTTTCGGCAGCCTTCAAAGCGTTTGAATTCTTTAGAACTTTTTATTAAGTATACGGCTTGATGTGTATTTACTTCTGCTTTGAGCAAACGGGAATCTATGTTAGATCGTGATTTCTATATTGTTTATAGCCAGTTTGTAACTGTTTACCCAATAGTTTGGCAACATTTAAAGGCAGTTTGCAGTTTGTTTACTATTCAATTTATTACCAAAAAGGGATCTGCCGATAAAACTCAATTATAGTCCCACACCAAGTCCCATTGGCAACGCACAAATGTATGTTATTTTTTTTTTTTGATAGAATTGGGGTAAAAGGCGACTCTTGCATATATGATATACCCGTCTGTACTCACGTACGTACGTACGTATTTATGTTAGCCTAAACCCAACTTAAATGAATACCTTTACCTTCAACTGTTTTCCATTTATGTTCTTCTGACTATGTTGATCATTTGTTGCAATATGTGAAGAGCATTTGTAGTAACCCTCGCCTCGGACTCCATATACATATGTATCCAGTCCGGACCCCAGTGTCATCCTCGTCTTTTTTCTTGGACTGTCTACAAATATATACACATTCATTCTCGTACATAGTTTCCCATTGGACCAAAACAGCATCATCGAGAGTTACGCGAACCGCAAAACGATCCAAAAAAGTTTCAAGCGTGTTTAAAAGAGTCATAATTACTATTTGATTACACTAGTCAACACGATTTTTCGTCAAGAAACAAAACGAACTTTTTCTTAAAGATTTGGGGCTTAGAAATGGTTTGATGATATTTTTTTTTTTTCTATAACAGAACTTTTTTTTAAAGAATTTTTGAAAACTGGTATTTGTTTTTAAGCTTTTTTCAGAGGTAGCGCTTGTTTTTTTCACATAACTCTAGTATCTTACGTCTGGTTTTAAAGAACTTTGCTATTTTGAAAAGATAATTAAAACAGCTAGAAGCTGAGCCCAAGCATTTTGTGATTTTAGCTTACTGTCTGGGAAATATACAGCATTGAAATGAACAAATTAGGATTTTTGTGCGGTATTTTTTACGAAATTTTGACTTTAAAAACTCAGGAAAAGTCGAAAAAAAATTATATCCTGTGTCCTCCTTTTTTTTTTAATAAGTGCATTAATTTGGCGCCGTTTAATGTATCGCTCATTAAAATCTATGGAGAAACTTTGGAGCTAAAATTCGTTAATCAAACCTAAAATATGGAAAAAATGAACAAAAAATACGTTTTGGACGGTTGCGAGCCCAACTGCCAATTGGGAACAAAGCAAACGAAAAAGGACTGTACATTTGGTACCTGATCGCGTTCCTTTATTCCCTTCTGCCATAGAAAAAAAACCATAATTCTTTAAAAAATCAGAAAAAGTCGGTTTGGATCCTTGAGGAAAAAAAAAGTTCGATTTTGTCGAGTAGTGTTATTTAAATTGAATACCCAAATGAATATATAATATTTTGTAGATATATTTTTGAGGCGTTTCTTCGGTCAACGCTCGCGTTTTTGTCGCGTTTCTAACATCTAACGATAGTTTTGATTTGTTTTACCGTCGATTGCGTTCTGTTGGTCCGATGGGTTACGGTGCGACTATTGTTTTTCGTTTGATGCTCGATTGCTGTTTGCTATTGTTGTTACATTGTTGTTGTGCATTTCCGATGTGCATTCCTTTTCTGAACTGACTCTGAGATTCTCCTATGCGCTGCGCCTTCCCTTCCTCTCCTCTCACAATTGTGTATATTTTCTGTTGTTGCGTATATGCGTATATGTATGCTGCCAAGCTGTATATACATATGTACATATGTATGCGTAAGTCTTAATGTTCTCACACGCACACACACACAAACACACAATTATCGTATCCGGTTGTACCACAGTCTATCGTCTATCGTCTACTGTCTATCGTCTATCGTCTACTGTCTAAATGTATAAAAAAAGAAGCTACCAATTCCAGAAAGTGCCATAACATTATGTCTGTCATCTTCTTCGCACAGAGAAAACCCCAAGACGAAGTCCACCGCTCTTGACACGATGGAGTCCGTTGTATTAGCTGGCAACAGTAGCGCTGTTTGTCCCTGGGATGAGCCGGTGGCCATAGTTCCTCCAGCTGCTCAGGTGAAACTCTCTGTGTGTCCCTGGGAGCAGGATACTGTAACAGAACCAGCGACAGCGGCGCCAGCGTCAACTGCGACTGCGACTGCAACTGCTACTGCGGTGCTGTCCAAGCAGTCGTCTGCTGTTACTGTACAGCCACTACGATTGACTAGGTAGGTAGAAAAAGCTAATACATTGTATACATATACATATTATATATGTATGTATGTTTGTCTGCATGTAGCACTTCTTCGGACAGCAGTGACGTGGCTGATCGCTTGCAACGAAATCTGGGCATTCGGCACCAAAACACCGTCGACAGTGGCGAAACGAGCGTCAAACGTTTGACTCCCAATTTTACGGAGCAGCGTCGGGCATCCGTTTCATTCACACCCAGGTAGGTGAGACGACCAAAATGTGTTCAAGTAATATGCGTAAGGTGACGAACGTCGCGCGACGTCAACTCAACTCAGCTCGCTCTCTCTCTGCTCTCAGAGAGACAAGCGCTCGAAAGAGATGGCATGGAAGAAGAAGCAACGAGTGCCGTTGCTTGTGGTTGTTGTCATGCATAGCGGCAAACGGTTGATCCTCGAAAGAGAGAGAGAGAGAGACGTCACCTTATTAGTAAATTCAACTTGCGTGAGATAATTGTGATCTGTGTTATGTTTATGTTTTATGTTTCCTATTAGCCGCAGTTCAGACTACCAGTTTGGGCGCACCGCCGGCACATCCACGCCCACGGTGGCAGCCCAAGGCGTTGGTGTCGCCAGCAGTAATCTCACACCACTGCAGGCTCGGAGTGCCGTCCTCGGTGGTGGCACTAGCAGTGGCAGTGGCAGTGGCAGCAGCAGTTGCGTTGCAGTTGCAGTTGCCGCCAAAGATCATCCACTGTCTGGTGCGGATGTGGACACCGAAGTGGAGGAGGAACTAAACAAGCTGTCACAAGAGTCGTCGGCATCGGAGCTGCCGGTGCTTATCACTCCCACCCCCACACAGACCCCGCCGCTCATAACAAAGATCACGCCACCGCCCGAGGAGTGCACGTGCCCCCAAGTGGGTGGTCACACGACAAACTGCTGGCAGCAGCAGCAGCAGCAGCAGCAGAAATCCGTCGAAAGCGGCGTGACACAGGCGAAAGAAGCAGCAGCAGCATCACCATCGTCAATGACTATGGTAAAGGAGGTGCAGATCGAACTGATCGAGTCGCGTGATCTGGCCGACACGCCGCCCACCATTAAGGTACTGGAGCTAGTGGCAAGCACTCCAGGCGCCCAAACCTTGCCCCCGGGTCAGAGTCAAGAGCCACTAACAACAACCACCGAGGATGCCGCATTGGCTGACGATGAAACAGTGGAAGCAGCCCAGGCGCAGGTGCCCCTGTCAGAGGCGTCAGAGGCTTTGCAAGATGAGCTTTCACCCACCACCGACGAGTACCAAGAGGGACTGCAATTTGGCAACGACAGCAAGGACGTGGTCGACGACTATGACAGCATAGACAGTGACATACAGCTGGGCTATATACCGCCCGCTCCCACCCCAGCACCATCCATGGCGCCGCTGGCTGAGCTGGACGTGGACACGATGGTGGACGATGAGCCAGCGGACGAGTACGAGCCCGCCAGCACAGAGTATCCGCCAGTGGCAGTGCCAGTAGCTCCAACAGCAGCGGCAGCGGCAACGGCAACGGCAACAGCAACTCCAACATCCAGCAATGATGAGGCGCGCAAGCGACGCAAGAAACGAAACTCTGATGGGAAAAAGCACAGCTCGCAGGAGGACAAGGATGCAAAGGATGCAAAGGATGCAAAGGATGGTGGAAAAGATGTAAGCGGAAGTGTCAGTGGCAGTGGCAGTGGCAGTGGCGTCGTCGTTGTCGATCCGGAACACAATGCGGTGTGCCCCTGGGAAGACGAGTTAGTATACGCAATGAGTTTCACCCCTTACCCCCCTGGTTAACGCCAATCGCCTAACGCCTATCAATGTTATTGTATTGTCTGTACCCTCCCTCCCAATAATCCACAGGAACGTGAGCACTAGCGATGGAACCTTCGTGAAGACATATGCCACATTGGGGTACTTATGAATAAAACCAAATCTGTTCAAGACGGTGGTCAACAAGTTGCTGAAAAGGAAGCCGCACAAAAAATAGTAGGGCCTGGATAGTTTTTAGCTTACCCTTACATTATTTTATTATTATTATTATTATATATACATATATATATAGTGCATACATACATATGTGCTTATGTGGCATTTGTATGTATTTGATTCATGGGTGTATACATATGTAATAATTGTTAATTGCTTCGTGAGTCACAGTTTTTTTTATTGCTGAAACTTCAATATACAAAAAGTGAAATGAAAATGAAAATGAAACAAAAAGGAGAAACGAGAAATGGGAAATGTCTAGAGAAGTACATGGTCTAGGTATGTATGTATGTATATGAAGGATCATTCTTTTATTGTACAAAAAATGAAAATGAAAATGCTATATACTATATACATACATATATATACTCTCTTAATGAAAATTATAAAACGTAAAAAATTGATAAATTCATAAATGAAAAGCAACGTGATGGCAACAACAATTTCAAAAGAAAACGATTGAAAAATCTACAAAGTATAAATACCTAAAAATAGCCTCCCCCGAATCAATCATAATTTACATGTGGAAAAAAACAAAAGAGAACAAAAGGAAAATCAATTAGATTCGGCAAACAAAAAACAAAAAAACAGATGATAGAAACAATATAGAGTTGGAGTAACTAAATCCCTATAACTAATACAATTAACAAACCAAACCTCTCGGGGGTTATCAATAAATAAACATACATACAATCATGCATGCATACATGTGCCATATGTACATACATACACCATTCAAAACTGCAAGAGAACAGAACTTAAGAACTTAACAAAAGGACAAACAGACCGAGCACAACACATCGCCCCGCCCCGCCCCGTCCCGCCTTTGAACAGAAGAGTAAAAATTGTTTAAGCGTACCAACAACCATTTAATTTTGTTCATCCAACAAGACAAGACCTTTGTTGACAGACCGTCATAGAGATTGAACTGAATTCAAGAACAATACACAATAAATGCAAAATGTCTATCGTTTAGTTAAATGCAAAAGTTGCATCGTACGGTACGAGTACGAGTACGAGTACGAGTTTATTCATCAATTATTGAAGTGTTTCATTTCACGTATGCATGCAACACACTCACGAGCCCCAAGGTGCAGTGTGCGTGCCAGTGCAAGTGAGACTTGGCCAAACCAGCAACCAGTATCGAACACAACATTCAGCATGACTAGTAGGAGTATATAACAATCACCAAGTAAAACAATCACAAATAAACGAGCTACGCTGCATACCACCATATTAACATATACCATATACCATATACCTACCATAGGATCGAACATTGCTTTCGCCACACAACAAACAAATCACAACAAATCGAATCGATCAGCTATGTAGACTCAATATAATCAAATAAAAATGAAATCCTGGTTGTTTGCGGCTAATACCTTTATATAGATCGAAAACAAAGTTAAACTTAATGGATAGAAAACAAAAACAAAAACAACTATTAAAAATCTAAGTATATTTCTACTTTCATTGTGTGTGCGCGCATTGTGCATTGTGCATTAGCTACTACTACTACAACTACTACTACGACTACTACTACTGTATTTACTGTACTGTACTGTACTGTACTGTACTGTACTGTCGAAACCGCTTGCTGGTAAACAATCTTTGTGTAAATTATCTGATATCTGAGCTAATCTATGCGTGAATTTTCAAGTTACTTCAATTAATTAAAACACTAAAAAAAAAAAACACACACACTATACAAAAATGTACTCGAAGGAAACACACACAGAGTTGCATTCAGTAAACAATTAGGGAATAAAGTTGCATAAAGCATTTGTTGGATTTTTGTCGGGCATGACTGCAAGAGAATACAAATCTATAAAAACTATAAAAATGTATGTATAGAAATAAAATTTAAAAAAATCAAATCAAATCAAATAAAATAAAGACAAAGATCTGTGCCGTGCGTACAAAAAAAAGATATATATATATATATATGTGTACATGAAACCACCGTTAACTTTGCTTATGAGAGCCGAGCAATTAAAAAAGTTAAAAAAAAAAAAAACAAAACAAAAAATTCTAAAACTATAAAACTATAAAATTCTGCAGCAGCAATAGTTGGAATAACTTTTGTCAAATATTCATTAAACGAGTACTAGTGAAATCAGCTTATAGAACAACACCAAAAAACACACCACAAACAAACAAAAGTTGTAGTCAATGCAAAGGATGAGGAGGAGGAGGATGAGGAGCAGGAGGAAAAGCAGCAGAAGGAGCAGACGGAGGTAATATTGTATTGTTGTTGTTTTCTATGTATGTAATTGTACTTTTTTTTTTGTAATACAATTGTTGTAAGAAAGAAAAATTATGCCAAAAAGAAAACAACAAAAAAAATAGTTCATTAAGAGTTTACAAGCGCAAACATTTAAATACAGAAAAGAACAGAGAACAGAACAGACAAGATATGAATTACTTTAAACCACAAAAACAAAAACCAAAAACCAAAAACAAAACAAAACCATAACAAAAAGTTCCGAAAGTTTTGAATAGTCGATGGTACATACTCGTGTGTATATGTATATGTATTTGTTTTAATTGCATATATACTCGTATACATATGTATGTATTTATGGTATGCTTACATAAAACTACATTTAAAATCAAAACAAAGAAAAAACAAAAACGAAAAGAAAAAAAACCAAAACCAATAATAGTGTGAGGAGGCAGTCGAGACTTCACGACTTGAATATACCCGGTATTTGGAGAAAATTAAAGTACTACTAAAAACATCTGCGTGACTGTCCGAAATTATCCGATTGATTCCGTAGTAGAAAAAGTGACTACGAAAAATCCTAAAAACCGACGACTGCCAAAGACAGACGGACCAAACCGACAAAGCAACTCAAAAGAAATCCACGAGGAACTCAAACTCTACCGGGTATAAATAATAATTAACAAGACAAAAACTAAAACAAAAAATTAAAGCAGCTCCTGGAGCAGCCATACAAAGCGCCATTTTGATAAAAAAAAAAAAAATAAAAACTAAAAAGAAAAAGAAAAAACCGATTCGACAACTAATGTTTAATACAAAAAAGATACAAAAAAATTACTGTGTACTAAACACCAGTGGGGTGGTGGTGTGTTGGTGTGCTGGTGGGTGGGTGATGTGATTTTCATTGCCCCACGAAAGATTTACTTTAGTTTCTGTATAATTAGTGCTCATATCACTGATTGGAGGAGACAGGAATGTGAAACAAAAAACAATGTGCTTATAAGTTGCCAGAGCTTTTACTAGTAGACGCCATTTAAATTCTGATTCTGGGTTTAAAATAAAGAATAAAAAATTAAAATTAAAATTACAATTACAAAATAAATACAATTGTGAAGAGTGCAACCAAAGTGTTTGTTATTATTAATGATTCATGTCGTTCAATATATTGACAATGAATGTGAAAAAAAACATACATACATACATACATACATACATGCATATACATATACATATATATTGTGTATTATGTATAGTACATATATATGTATATTTAATAATTGTTATAGCAAATTTAGTAAATATATTAAATTAAAACAGCAGAGCAGTGCAGAGCAGAATAATTCATTGTTTGTCTATTTAATATGCCATTGAAAATATATTGTGTGTAAGCGATAAGTTTAAATCCAAATATACCTATACATAAATGAAATTATACAATACATGAGTACACATTTATGTATACATACAACATACATACAAATATACATAGGTGTATGCAGACAGCTGACAGACATTATTTCAAATGTTTAAAACATGAAATATTTTGAGAAACAAACAAAACAAAAACAAAACTAAATCTGCAACCTGCAAAACATTAGTCAGTAAACACAAATCAAATGTAAAACAAATTAATGTAGACTGTATTGGAAAAGGAAAATTCAAATAGACAAACAAACAAAAACGAAGGATAAACGAAATTTGATTGGTTTGGATTGAATTGAATTGAATTGAATTATATTGGATTGTATTGGATGATATCAACACTCCTCCATCTCGAGAAACTTGCAAACAAAACAAAAAAACTCTTCTCGTATATGGATGAAAAAGTGAATCGTTCTAAGTGAATTCAATTTGAAAAGGGATAAAGGAAAAAGGAAAATTATTTGCACAGTGCAGAAAAAAACGTGTTATAAAATTATTATATTATACATAAAAATATATATTACTGAACCTATGCTGATGAAATTTAAGCCCGAGAAATGTAAAAACCAAAAAAAAAAAAAAACCAAAAACAAAAACGATTTAAATGAAGTACAATAAATATTCAAGTGAAGAGTAAAGTGTTTTCTGTTGCTGGGTTTTTAATTTTAAATCTCTTAATACTTTACATGATGCATAAGGGATATAAATACTTGTAGTTGCAAGGCGGAAGCACAAGCAAAAGGCTCCTCCTACTGCCCCTCGTGCAACACACAAAAACAAGGCGCACACATGTGACGACGGGGCTTATTGTTGGCTCCTCCTCTTAGTTTTGCTTAGTGCAGTTGTGTGCCAGATAATTCAAAAGTAATGAGGCGTCGAAAGTGAAGAAAGAACTCAACTCAACTCAACTCATGCTAAAGCAAAAGCAAAAGCAAAGGCAAAGGCAGAAAAGGTCTGCTATGTGTACACAAATACATACATAGGTACATATGCTATGTGTGTGTGTGTGTGTGTGTGTGCATAAGTCGTCGCTTCTTTAAAATACATGAATACAATGTCCCGGAATGAGGACATCCGTGTTAGACCCAACTAGCTATAGCTATAGCTACATACCTTGTAGCTTCCTTTGCTGCAAACCTACTGCTATGTAGCAACTACTAGCTCGCACTTTGTTAGTTTGTTGTATGTACGCTGTACTGTACGCAGAAGCAAAAAAAACGAAACATGTTTTAAGTAGTCCAGTGCTAGGTGGCAGGGATAGGCTACTCGCAGGAAGGATATCTGCCATCTCGGGGTGAGTGTACTCGCTCGCAGGTGAGGCCAAGCAACACAGGGGAAAGGCAGGAGAGGCAGCATTTGAAAGTCAGATACGTACAACATATGAGCGTCATATGAGCGTCAAATGAGTGAAGAGTGTGGGGGGGCGATGCCCACTCCATAGACAGAAGACGGAGGCGTTCTATTGTCATGCCACCTTCTGTCCACCTGTCCACCTGTCTGTATGTACTGTATGTACTGTATGTACTGTGTGAGCGAGCAGCCTAGTCCTTAGACCTTAGTACGTACACGACGAGCAGATTCTGTTATACTTGCTAATTATTTAGACTCTAGCACACTTGAACATTCACAGCAAATGCAATCCTGCATAAGTGCTCCTCCCACCGTTCTTTTCCATACTTACTCGTACTCTTGGGCGCTTCTTGTGGGGGGGGCTCCTCCTCCTCCTCCTCCTCCTCTGCGCTGCGTGTCAGTGAGGCATGTGGTGTCCCCCGCTGTGACCACATCGCGTGATCGGGTATCAATAGCCGCTTATTAGCTGCCCTCCCCCCAAACACCTCTGAGTGGCTGCTTTCTTCCGAGTCTTGCCTCAACTTTAAATAATTTCAAAATATACGAGTATTCGGGGTTTTTCAAGGGTTTTTATAATTTTTATAATTTAATTTAATTTAATTTCAGTTCATTTCACTTTATTGTTGGGTTCTTTAGTTAAAGCGCTTATATTGTTACATATAGAAATTTATAGCTATAGTTATAGTTATATATGTATAGGTATAGGTATACGTGTGTGTGTGTGTCGCTAAAAATAATTATGTATTTACTATTAAAATTCTAAAATATTATTTGCTACCGAGACAGGGAGACAGGGAGACACCCTCTCTCCCTGGCTTACATTCTAGTGATCGTCTGGTCAAATCTGCGTCCTCAGTAGCTGTCAAAGAATCCTTTTGCGATGAGTCGCTGCTGCTGCTGCTGCTGCTGCGGCTGTGGTGCTGGCTAACTTATTCTGCAGGGGGGCAAGTGCATGTGGAAGTGATGAGGACGATGTCACTGTAATTGCTGCTATCACCCCGCCGTCGTGGGCGCCTGCGGCGCTGCTTGCAGCATCAGACAAAGTGCAGGAGGTGGTGGTTGCAGTGGTGGTGCTGTTGCTGTTGCTGGTGCTGGTGGTGCTATATGGCGGTGGTGATGGCTGACGGCAATGGCCATCGGTGGGTTGGCGTTGGCTGCTTGGCAATGCCATTGACTGGCAGTGCCTTTGCAGTCCCTGGGGTGGCTTCTGTTGCTGCTGTTGCTGCTGTTGCTGCTGCTGCACCTTTTTGGGGGGGTAAAGCAAACAACTTCCGGTTGCAGACGCCTGACGTCTGTCGCTGATGTCGCTGATGTCGCTGATGTCGCTGTTGTTGTTGTTGTTGTTCCTTCGGACAGCAGTGCCGACACTTCCGTACTTATCCTGCAGATACTTTTGCACACTGATGTTGTACTTGCTGCGCGAATTGAGACCAATCAGCATTAATTGGTGGCTCAGCTGATCTTCATTTTGGGAGCCAGTGGGACTGTTCGAGGGCAGCACATCCGGCTGATACTCGGGCTCTGTGCGGCTCTGCCTGATGATTGCCGTTTCCCGCACGGCACCGGGCATGATCCTGTGATCCTCTATGAGCTGTGATCGATGCAAATCATACACCTTGGACGTTACGTTGAGCTTATCTGGTAGCAGTGCATAAAATATAATAATAATATAATAGGGAAGAAAATATATATATTTAAGGGTGTTCAAAGGAAGGAATGAACTTGTGGCCTACCTTTGAACTTGCGCTCCAAAACGAGTGTTTCCTCTCGCCTCTCATCCTCTCGACTGCGCAACGAATTCGAATTCGAATTCGAGTTACCAGTTCCAGTTCCAGTTCCTGTTCCTGTTCCTGTTACAGTGCCAGTCCCTCCTCCTCCTCCCTCTGGCATGGCTGTGGGCCGATTGCACAGGTATCCCATTATGGCATGCGAATTTCTGCTCCTATCAATGCTCGTTATCAATTCTGTAAATTTCCTGCCATCGGCCATGGGCTCGATGCGTCGATCTGTTGCCTGAATTTGATTTGGATTTTGATTTGGATTTTGATTTTGGAACGTATTGAGCAGCACCTCCGTGCCGCCGGCCACCACTACGCTGTTGCTGACGCCATGGATGCCCAGGCCCAGGCCCATGCCCAGGCCGAGGCCGAGGCCCTCGCCAGCCTCGCTGGAAAATTGCTGCGCGGTGTAGTTAATCGAACGAAGATGGGTATGCTGCCTGGGATGCAGATGGAGGTGCTTGAAGCGTCTGTAGATGCAGTAGGTAGCCATGGACAGCAGCACCGAGATGCTGAGCAGCCCCAGGACCATGAGGCAGATGATCACAAAGAGATTGCTGTTCAGGAGCAAGTCCCGCTGCACGGCCTGCTGTACGACGAGGCTCATCTGGACGGCATCCTTGCCGCCAGCGTTCTCCGCCAGGCAGGTGTAGACGCCCTCGTCGCTCTTCTCGGCCCCCACAATGGTGAGCCGCGAGGTGAATATGTCGCGGCCCAGCTGTGGCTCTCCCCTTGTGGATCGTTTCTCCTCCCGCAGCATCTCGATGTGCACGCGCGGATGGTGCACGTCCAGGGACGTGCCACTCGACTTGTACAGCTGCTTGTTGTAGTCCCAGGCGACAATGGTGTTCGGTGAGCCGTGCACCCGGCATATGAGGGTCACGTTCTCCTTGGATGTGTTTATGGAGGCGCCGCGTGCCGGATAGACAATCTTTGGCTTGCAGGCGAACGCCTCCGGCTGGTCCTCGATCCACAGCATGCTGCGCAACTGCAGCGGATAATGGCAGGCCGTCGGCGGCGTGTACAGGTTCATTTTGAGCACAAAGTCGCGAAACTCCTGCAGATCGCAGGTGCAGTTCCATGGATTCTGGTCCAGGGACAGGGCTGTCAGTCGGCTCAGACCCTGAAAGCTCTCCCGGTGCAGCACCCGAAACTGATTGCCGTCCAGATAGATCTGCGAGAGGAGCGGCACCTCCTGGAACGCCAGCGGATCGATGCTCACCAGCCGATTGTGCTTCAGCTCGATCTTGTGCAGATACTTCAAGTGATGGAAGACGCCGCCGCGCAGCGTCTGCAGCTGGTTGCCATTCAGCACCAGCGATCGCACCTTGGTCAGGCAATCGAAGACATTGGGCAGCAGCTCGCGCAGCAGATTGTTCGACAAATCCAGCTCAATGAGTATCTCCAGCTGCGCGAAGCTCTGCGCCGTTATGCGCTGCAACGTGCTGTTCCGCATGAACAGCTTGTGAAGGTTCTGCAGCCGTGTGGCCAGAAATGCGTTCTCCTCCAGGGCGAGTATCTGGTTCTGGGAGAGGTCCAGCACCTGCACCTCCGAGCTGAGATACTCGGGCACTCCGCTGAGGCTCAGGTTGCGACAATCGGCCGTCTTCTTGCCGGAGTTCCACTTGCAGTGACAGTTGCCGCAGTCCATTAGCCAGTCGGCAGACGCGGCTCGCAGCACAGATACCAAACAAAGCCATTTGAGCAGTTGCAGCCTGTAGATTTGCTTGCGTGCCATTGTGACCGATTCCTTTCACCGTTCACCGTTCACCGTTCACCTTTCACCTTTGACCGGCAGCTGCCGCTTGCTGCCGCTTGCTGCCCTGTCTGCCCTGTCTGTGTCACATAATCTTAGCTCATGGCTCAGCCTGTGCCCTGCACACTTCAGAGGCGTCCTGCCACATGCCCTAACCATACGCACATGCTGCAGGCATCATCATCATCATCAGCCAGGACATGTGCAACTTAGTTGTACTGCCTCAGATGTGCCTGGTTACTCGGTTGCCTGCACGTTCCACCTTCATGCAAATCAGTTTCTGTTCTGCCAACCATCTATACCTCGAGTGCAGTGTTCTGTTTTTCTGTTTTTCTGTTGTTAGTTTGGCTTGGCTTAACGTTCATGTGCGTAGTCCGACTGAGAGCTGCATGCCCGTTCGTACCCCCACTCGTGCTCGTGGATATGGGACTAAAATGAAATGTGAATGCATTTACATATCATATGCATACATATCTGTGTGTGTGTGTTTTTTTGTAAGTACATAAATATTTGCATTACGTGCAGATATTCGCAGATAGATACAAATGGGGCACCGCATTATGCACTGACAATCCACACATAATGCAGCGATTCACAGATGGAAATTCCAAAACAACAAAAATCCAACAACAACAAAAAATAACTCATAGCCGTTAAAGCTTCGAATGTGAAGCTCGTTGTGGCATGCCACTGCCTGTAAGCAAGACACGGGGGAGTAGCACGGACTCGACTTCACATATTAATTCAAATCCACACGGTCCGGGTCCGGGTTCGGGTTCGGGTTCGGGTCCGGGTCCGGTCTTTATCTTTGGGCAGAGTTCTCAACTCAACTTATTTTTTAGCAACCCGCGTGTCAGTCCACATCTACCTTAATGCCTCCTGCTACACACTGTCTGCTAAAATCAGCTTTGTGATTATTCGTTATTCTTTTTGCTTCTGACATTCGGCAGGGGGTAGGAGAGCGTGGGGGGGGGGGCACGTTCTTGGCCTTATTGTTGGCAAAGCTTTTGAGCGGCAGGGGATGCAACATTGGCAACATGCGGCTTGGCGCCTTGTCAGTTTCACCTTCGTCACCTTCCCCAATAAGACACACGACTAAGCACAGATAATTTCATCAACAGTGGTGCCCACCATACACCACCATACACCACACATACACCACACATACACCATACACACACATACAAAAAAAAGGAAGGAACAATAATTGAGGAACACAAGACGCTGGGCCTGGCGCTTTTCAACGTTTTTTACACATTTCTTGTTCGTTATTTGATTTTGGTTTTGGTTTTGGCGTTTTTGGTCCGCGATGACACTGTGACGTGACACTGGCCCTGACGGGGTGGGCTGGGGGAGGGGAAGAAAGTGCCGCAGCACTTGATTGGCTTGACTTGCACCACCTGATAATTATAATTTGCCTATTAGCAAGGAGGGGCACACGGCCCCTGTCCACTGTCCACTGTCGCCTGTCCTCCGTGCCCTGTGTTTATCAAGTACAATTTGGCTTTGGCTTGCCCTATTAACTGGAGGTCTCGTTATCATCCTTGATATTTATCGCTAATAAATGGAAATTGCATATTTTACTCTGGGGAAAAATCCAAGGTGAAAATACAACCAAAACACTGCCCGCGCCAGAATCAGAACAAAAAAAAAACACTTTTCGTAAAGCACAGACGATGCCGCGATGCCGACGGTGGCCCCAACACGTTCACGAATAACTGTTTTGTTTCCCGTTATTCACATTACTTATACGCCCTTTCGTTAACAGTGGCGCTAACAGTGTCGTTAACGCTTGCAGTGCTGGTAACAGTATCGTTAACGCTAACAGTGGCGTTAACATTGCGCATGTCAAATAGCATTTTAGCATTTAGCTTTTTTCTTCGCTCTTCGTACTGCTCCGTGCTCACGAAAGGCACAGCCACATTAGGCTGGACCTTAACTAACTGTTGGGGAATAGTGAGGTGCGGATCGCGGCACCCGTGCAGCGACACTTCTAACATGCAGTTATCATTTAGTGTATAATTTATAATTTTATTTTTTTTGCTATCGCTGTCGAGTCCGCTACATATCTTCTTTTCACGGGAACAGCTTGTTGGGGACCATTCACTTGTTCAACTCGCTCTCTCGACTCTCAGAAAGGCAAGAAGTCTGTGCTTGTTGTTGCTTGCATGCATAGCGGCAAACGGATGGTCCGCGAAAGAGAGCAGATCTGGTGATGCCGTTATATCTCGCTCATTCCGCCAACAGACGTGGAAAGGTGTGTGTGTGTGTGTGTGTAAGAGAGAGAAAGAGAGAGTGAAGCCAGAAAGCGGCGTTAAATGGCCATGCAAGGAGATGCATTTGGCTCCTCGACAATACAATCTTTAAGACCAAATTCAATAATATATTCTAGAACAAGTTCAACTCTTTTCAGTTGGGGTAGGTACAAAACTTTGGATATCGTTCTCACAGGCCAAGTCAATCTGGATGGTGCCGTTATCATCGTCATACAGTACAGTCGGTTGCAGATCCTTGCTGAAGGAGAGGCCTGTGTAACGTTCGATGTCTTCGATGCGGTGGCGCCGATCCCGAAAGCTGCCACCACCCCTTCCGCCGTTTCGAACGATGTACGCCTTTATGGTGGGCTCCTGTCCGGCCACCTTCGACTCCAAGATCAGCACCTTGAAGTAGTGCGTCGGAATGGGCGTGGCCACAGAGTCGGATTTCTTGTACTCCACCCACCATGTGGTGCCATTGCCCATGGGCATGTAAATGGGACCGGTGTAGCAGTACACCGATCCGCACTCCTGCGTCTTCAATCTCACGTATTGCTCCAGTTCGCGCCAGATGCGACGCTTGAAGACCTTGCCCATCTCCGCGGAGTTATCGCCCAGCAGAAATGCATCGCTGTAGCGGTGGAAGTCATCACCGGAGTCAGACTCGGACTCGGACCCGGACACGGACACGGACACGGACTCATCTGCCGATGGACTGGCCCGAAAATGCTCGATGATCCATCTGGCGCTGCTCATCTTTGTGCGCTGCGACATAATGCAGTCCCTGTGCACCACCAGATTGTCTGCGCTGGGTAGACCGTACTTGATGAGATCCAGCATGTTCGCCACAGAAGGCGAGGACTCTTCGACGGGCATTGGTCGCGGCAGGAGTGCATTGTACAGCCGTGGGACCAGCAGCTGGCACAGCTTGTCCCGCAGCCCCACTGAGCGGTTCCACAGCCGACCCTCGTGATCTGTGCTGAAGGTGGAGAGCTGCTCCCAGTGGAAGCAGGGGTTACCACCATTCCATTCGGATCCTCACTCAATGATGACTTACCAGGGGATACAGCCTGCGCCGATAGTGGTACACATACGGATCCCTTTTGATCGCTTCGAGTAGCTTCATTATCGACAGCTCGTGCTGGACAAAGGCCCCGCAGAGGAGGCCCGACACACCAAACAAGACGCACATGGCAAAGCGTTGTTGTGGATCTGACATTGTGCCTCTTTGTTTGTTTAATTTAAATATAACTGTATGTATGTATGAATGAACGAGTTCCGCGTTGCAATATTTCCCTGAGTTTTCTAATGTACGAATCTACGCTGAAGTGAGTAATTGTTTGTTTATTTGTTTACTGTACAGTCAAGAATGTCTAATGTTACATTAGTTCGGGAAGAGCCTACTGCTGCGGGTAACTGGATCTGGATCTGGATATTCCCCTATAAAAGTCATGCGATATATCAGTCTGTAGCTGTAGCTGTACCTGTACCTGTACCTGTCTTCCCTGTCCCACAGGGAGCTGCAGAGCGCTTTTTAGGCTTATGCATTGTCATGGGGAATTAAATATGTCTCTGTCGTAATGTACGACAAGTGGAATTAAAAGCAACTAAATTCGCACGTATTTATGCCAACACAACACACACAGAGGCTTATTCATCATTATTGGAGCATCAAGAGTCCTGCTGACGCCAGGTGAAACAGTGTTCAGGTATCTGCTGTCGGTCCTCTCTCAGTTCGCTAGACGCGTTGGCGTGGTCATGCTTAAATTAGTTAGAGATTATGCCACCACATCAACGCGCCCGCAAAATCTCCACTTTGGCACGCATCCAACAATGAACGGCTTCCGGCCAAGGGCGTCGACTTTGGGGCGGGCATATTTTTTAATTATGTGCTTGAAATATTCAAAACGAATTAACCATTGAAAGCATTGAAAGTCGTTGCCAATGCAGAAATGTGCCCCATTTGAATATATATTAACTGCTTGATGGCTGCTTCTACTGCACCTGCACTTCCTGCACCCCTACTCGACTAAATGATCGATTGAACGTTTGATTTGTACATACATAAATCACTGGCACCCTACGTGCAGTGGAAGAAGCGGTGGAGAAGGCAAACGGATGTAAATCCGCTTTTAATTATAAATTCAAAATACGCGCCACAACTCATAAGCAACACTGTGCGCGGCACTGCCACCTATTGCTGGCGCTGCCAGCTTGTCGCAGCATGCCTATCGATAGGCATCTTGTTGTTGCTATCGAAATACAAAAGACGCCAGCCTACCAGAAAAAAAGCCACAAACAAATTAAATTAATAAACAAATGGATAACGGCAAACTGAGCGCCGTGCGCGTTGGCGTTCGCGAAGCACCATTTCGCTCGTTCCATGGCCGCCAGGAGCCCAGCATCGTGCAGTTCTCGCCGCTGGCCGGCAACGTAAGTGATCCGATCGTCCATTCCCACTCCCACTGCCACTGTACTGCAATTGCAACTGTACTTGGAAGCCATATTGATCAAATAAAATAACCTTTGCTCTCCTATCCCCTTGTTCGGTGTGCCCCTGTGCCCCCCATCACAGTCACTGGTGGTGAAGCAAAACGATTACCATTTCGACCACGCCTTCCGCTCGAGCGTCAGCCAGCAACAGCTCTACGATGCGCTCATCGAGCCGCTGGTGGACAAGCTCTTCTGTGGCTTCCAGTGCACGACCATGGCCTACGGCCAGACGGGCACCGGCAAGAGTTACTCCATGGGCATGGTGGCCGACAACCAGGTCGCCAACGAGGAGCATCTCGGCGTCCTGCCGCGCTGCCTGAGAGACATCCTGGATCGGGTGGCCGCCCAGCAGGAGAACACCGCGGAGCGCACAAAGATCTCCGCCTCCTTCATCGAGGTATACAACGAGAAGGCCTACGACCTGCTGGGCGCCTCCCCCATGGACCCCATGCTCTCCTCGCGCTGTCAGAGCCCCACCTGCATACCGCTGGCCAGCCAGGAGGATATGCGGCGCCTGCTGCAGCTGGGTACCAGCAATCGCCACGTGCGGCGCACCAACATGAACGCGAACAGCTCCCGCTCCCACGCCATTGTCACCATCCATGTGCAGCGACAGGGCGGCCAGATATCCCGCATGAACATCGTCGATCTGGCCGGCTCCGAGGGCTTGCGGCGCACCGGGCACGAGGGCGTGGCACGCCAGGAGGGCGTCAGCATCAACATGGGCCTGCTGAGCATCAACAAGGTGGTAAATGCCATGGCGGCCGGCCATGCGGTGATCCCCTACCGCGACAGCGTCCTCACCACAGTCCTGCAGGGTGAGTGAGCCCCGTGACCCCCGGGACCCCTTCCATAATGATCTGATCTGATCTGATTTGATTTTATAATCTTTAATCTCGCTTCCGCAGAGTCGCTCACCTCGCAGTCGTATCTCACCTTGCTCGCGTGCATCAGTCCGCACGACTGCGACCTGAGCGAGACGGTCTCCACGCTCCGCTTCGCGAAGAGCGCCAAGCGGCTGCGCCTCAATCCCCAGCAGATGCAGATGGCGCGCACCCACCAGCTGCAGCAGAAGGTAAGCCCAGAGCTCTGCCTAGATGTAGTCGCTGTCCACGCAGTCGAGGATTACCTCGCGCATGCGAAGCTTGTAGAGCTGCTCGTTGCCGGTGCCCAGGAAGCCGGCACCCTGCAGGTTGGTGCTGCCCCCCGCTTCGATCATCTCGCTGATGGCCTGCAGATCGGGCACATCCTGGCCGCGCATCGTCACGATCGGCAGCACCATCATGGCAAGGAGCAGGCCCACGGCGGCCTTCGTGCGCAGCTGCTCGGCGAACGCCTCCCGCGGCAGCAGCTGTTCCACGGACTCACCCAGCCTGACAGAGAGGACGAGACGAAACGAAACGAAACGAGACTGGCATTAGATGGGATTAGGTGTGGCTGTGAATGTGGGGCGCCTGGTCACCTGGTCAGCTGCTGTCCCAACTGGAGATGGTACTCCTCGAGCATGTCCTGCAGGTGGCTCTGGCGAAAGGAGCGCGTGGTGCAGGTGTAGAGGAAGTAGGCCAGATCCGTCACTGGGGAGGCGTAGCGCATCAGCTGCCAGTCGATCAGGCGGAGATCGGGCGGACACTGGCTGTACAGGATGTTGTTGTTCCAGCAGTCGCCGTGGCAGACCACGGCATAGGGTTCGCAGTTGGAGCCGCTGATCAGGGGCAGCAGCAGCTCGAAGTAGGATCCGCGCGAGAAGTACTCCCTCAGCCGTAGGACGTACGCATCGTCGCCCGGCGAGAGCAGCGCGCTCAGTGCGCTCTCCTTGAGGTTCTCAAAGTAGGCGGCCAGGGCGGTGTCGCCTCGCCGCTGCTCGAAGATGTCCACCAGCTGCTGGAAGGGGAGCAGCTGCTCGGGGCACTGGCGCTTGGCTGCCAGGGAGACGGCATGGAGCTTGCCGTAGGCGCGCATCACCAGCGCCACACGCTGCAGGGGCAGGTCCGTGAAGCGGTCGTGCAGCTGGAAGCCGGAGCGGCACAGATCCTCCAGCACAATGCACTCGTTGGGCTCGTCGCGGCGTGTGTGAAAGCAGCGGGGGTGCTGCCGGAAGCGCTCCTCCTCGGGCAAGCCCCACCGCTCCTGCAACTCCGCCACGAGGGGCAGGAACTCTTCGTAGGCCTGCGACTCGCGCAGGAAGCACGGCCGGGCAAAGAACTGCTTGCGCCGGACGCTGTTCTGCGGCGGCAGCTTCACCACCAGACTGCGATCGGGGGGCACGCGCAGGCGCCACACCACGCCCAGATAGTTGTCGCCCTTGGCGCTGGCCCGCTCCAGATGCTGGCTGAGCTCCGAGCTCACGGGCAGCAGGCTCTGCTCCGGCCAGAGCTCTGCGATCAGCTGCCTGAGGCACAGGGTCACGCACTCATTGGGGAGATCATCCTGGGTCTGCTCCGGCTCCTGTCCCGTCGGCTTCTGCTCCCTCTGCGACTCCATGCTGAACTGCGCCACAGGCGGCCAATCGAGCGACTTTTATAGGATGTCTCGGGGAAACCGCAGCCACCGCAACAACCGCAAGCGATCGATCGTCAATAGATGCACCTCGTCTCATGTTTCCCCTTTTCAATTGCAGCAATTCCCGGACGCCGTCACGCCGCACGCCTTCCGGCGGGGGCTGACCAGTTCGACGACCATCAAGCTGAGCAGGCCGCCGCAGAACGGTTCTGGCGCCCCCGTTCAGAACAGTACCTACCTGATGCCGCCCAAGGCCAAGGCGAGCCTGCCCCTGCACCAGATGCAGCGCACACGATCCGAGATGGGGCTGACGCCCAAGGCCAAAAAGCGGTGGGTACCTTCCCCCCATGTCCCATATCCCATGTTACCCATTCCCCCCCATCAGAGTACATTCTCTCCCGCTGCCTCTCCCCCAGGGCCTTAGAGGAACTGCAGCTGGAGATGACATTGGACGCGCCATCGGTCAGCGACGTCTCGGAGATCAGTCTCTTTCAGCAGAAGGAGGAGAAGCCACTGCCACTGCAGCGCACACGCTCCGAGCTGGTAATGACGCCCAAGGCCAAGAAGAGGTGCGTACGAGACAGAGGCTCTGCCACTGCCGCTGTGTCCCTCTCTAACATCCGAATATCTCCCTCCCAATAGACCACGCGATGATGAGCTCCAGCTGGCGGCAGAGACGACATTGTTGGTGCCATCGTGCATGCATTTCTCGGACAGCAGCCTCACGCTGACGCAGGAGAAGGACTCCAAGGCAATGGGCCCCCCACAGCCTCCGACCACTGGCAGGAGTGTCTTCCACTCCTCTGTGCTGAGCATACCAGAGGAGCCGGGCTCACAGCCACAGCAGCAGCAACCCATGAGCGGCCTGCTCTTCAACAGTACCTGCAGTCCGATCGTTTCGCAAGCGGCTGGCCCATTTGAGTTGAGCGGCATCCAGCCGCTGGAGACCAGCGCGAGGCCGATGCTCCATGTAAGACGCTCCGCCCGCCTGTCCAGCATGTACAACACGATGCAGTCTCCTCCGTCGGAGCAGAAGCAGAAGAATGAGAGCCTGCTGCGGCGCAGCATGAGGCTGGCGGTTAAATCGGAGAAGGGCGTCGTCCAAACCAAGGACTTGTTGGCCACACAGAACTCGGTCAGCGTATTGACAGGCCGTGGCGTTCGCTCGAAGGCGGCCGCGACATGCTGGATGAGCAAGCATCGGGTCAAGTTCCTGGATTTTCTCAACACGGCGGAGGTCCGCGAGCTGCAGAAGATGCCCGGCATTGGCCCCAAGACCGCCTTCTCCCTGGCTATGCAGCGGTGAGTTGCAATGAATCCCACTCCACAACAATTTCCTGATTTTGTTGTCTTTTCACCCGCAGATCCCGGCTGGGCGGCTTCCAGAGCCTGAGCCAGGTCGGGGGCCTACCCATCTGGGCCGGCAAGAAGTGGCTGCGCGTGTGCCAGGCCAACTGCTTGGATCCGTAGCGAAGCAGAGCGAATCATTCCATCCCAGACGAACCTAAGAACTTTTTTTGTACGTGTAATAGTCCTCTCAATGTTAAATTTTTTTTTTTTTTTTATTTTTGTATGTTTTATTTAAGCGAGACCCGACCCTGTAATATTTTATATAAACTAGCAATAGGGTTAAATTAAGGAAGCAGTAAGAATCATCACAGAAGCGGACAGTAAACTGAATATTAACTAAGGAACTATGAAAACGGTTGGCATTGCGGGACTCTGTTTTATATAGTCTCGATCGTAAGAGTCAACTCTCGCTCTCCGAATGAAAATTATAATAATTTAAGACGTGATTTTGTAACACCTCTACCTTTAAGTGATCCTGTAATATTTGATGTAAACTAGCATAAGACCGTAACCCCGGTTCCCCAATTAAATTCCCATCATATATATATACAAACGAAATGAGTCATAGCCAACAAAAAAGTAATCAGTATTATTTATTTTAATCATAATCGAATAGACACTGAAACCTATTTTCAAACGTCATAGAGCAGAATAATCCAGAACAATTACAGATCGCTGGCGATATGAACACACGCTTTTATCGCTGATGCACTCCCAGCAAAACGCTCGACCAGCCAGCGGGGTGGTGACCTCATAGATAACAAATATCGTGTTATAAATTGGGCCCTATGTTGTACTTATTAGTGGGCCCTTCTATATAGAGGATTGGCTTTCGTTCTTGCACATATCCTCGATAGTATAGTGGTCAGTATCCCCGCCTGTCACGCGGGAGACCGGGGTTCAATTCCCCGTCGGGGAGGAGTATGCATGCAGGACACATATGCGTGTTTAATTTTTTTATTTAAACATTTTGTATTAGTTTTTCTCTTTTTCTTCTCTTTTTTTATATAATTCCACCAAAGATCGAATCAATATTTCATATGACTGCTAAAGTAAGGATAAAGGTCTCGTCTCCCACTTGCATTTTCGTGCGTGCGTGACTACACGAAGATCGGATCACTTCCATCTCTAGTTTCTACCCAATGGCTGTCCCTATCTCGCTTGCACTCTCACTCTCTTTTGCTGCTGGCGGTGGGGTCGACTACAGAAATACATACATACATATGTATGTGTCTATGTGTTTGTGCAAGTTGTTTTGCCACCTTGCTCGTTGCCAGAGGGAGGGGTGGGGGTGACAGAAAGTGCATCTTAAAGATATGTAAATATATATGTATGTACATTTAGTTACGGCCGGGCCAAGACAAAGCCCGCCGGTCGACCTCTGCCCGTTTATCAACCGAAGCCGAAGCCGCAGTCACCGTCGCAGCCGCAGCTGCTGACCGATATAGCGGCTCTTGTTTTTTGGTAAACAAGATAAGGACAAAGAGGAGAGCTGTTCGAAGAGAAGAGCGCGGAGAGCAGAAAGGAATCTAAGTTGAATTTTCTGATTGGAAATCGCTTAAAGATAACGACCGAATATCAGCGTACATGGAAGGGGGCAGGAGCTACAAGTGGAGTACAAAGTGTATCTGGCGCAGCCGCAGTCGCAGTAATAGTCGCTGCCGCCGCTGCCAAAGAGCAAAGAGGAAAGCAAAAGGCGAGCAAAAGAAACCAGCAAAACAGAAAACAAGAAAAAACGCGTCTTTGTGCGAGCAAAACAAACAAGACAAGATCCAAAGCCCGCAGGGAAGGCGATTCTTGGATACCCTTCCAGCAGCAAAGAAGAATATTACCGTCATTACAGTTTATCGTTCATCTCTCTTTTGCTCTCAGTATTTCCCTTCCTGCGAAAGTGAAATGCACAACAGACTATCTTCTTTTGCAGTTATGTATGCAAGTATTCCAGAAAAAAATATCCTATATATCCCAACGAGCCACACCCTCTTTTATTACTAGCCACTAGCCGTGGTCTCTCTCCGAGCCGGTTAGAGTACGCAACAACAAAATCTCAGCGCCGCATAAAATGCGCCGCAAAAACAAGCCAGGCAGCGGCAGCGGCAGCGGCAGCGCAAGGCCAAGGTATATTAAGTAGAAGGTAAGGTAGTGCGGGAGCGATTTAATCGCATATGTAGTTCTCTTGATTTTGGAGAAGCTGCAAGAGACCCAATGCTCATGCTCATGCTCTTACGCTCCATACCTTCTTTTTAATATACCTTGAACTTGGTGATCACAACAAGATGTGAGAAAAAAATGCAATAAGCAAAACAAAGCCAAAACCAAAATCAGGCATAGTACAAGGTATATTTAAGATATAGTGAGGTAAGGATAGGATATCCTTCATAGGATATCCTTTCTTCTCCTTTTGCTGTCTGGGTGAATGCTTACATATGTACATATGTGTCCCTTGACGCTTTGAAGCAAAAATTGGAGACATTCAACCATCCTGACGGCGCTTTCTGCTTAGTCCTCACCACTTCTACTGAATTTACCCTGGCAGCAACGACCGGCTTTTTTTTTTACATACACTGCACACACCCCCACCACCCCCCAACAGCACCAACACCCGGCCAACGCATCACACATAGACACTCACTCACACACACAGACACATTTTGGCTTCTGCTGCCTCTGCGCAGCGGCAACTGACAAGCAACTGGTTGTTGTTGCCGAACGCCGACGCTCTGCCCAAAGGCGACGCCAACGTCGTGCGTTTAAAATGTCGCAGCCGCAGCGGTTTTGAGCTCTGTCTAGAAGCAGCACTCCAGCAGAGCAGAGCAACTAAAACTAGTCAAAAGTCCCCCCATTTAATTTTGATTTTAATTCAAATTCAGCTTCGGTTCGAATGCGGATTTTGTTTTGATTTTGCAAATTGGAATCAGCCGATGTGTGTTAACCGTTAACCTGTGTGTCCGATCGCCAGTTAAATAACAGCAACAGGAACAGCAACAGCAGTAGAAGGAGCATCCAACAGTAGAACAGCCGGAACTAGCACACGATCCAACAAACATGGCGCAACCATTGAAATTCTATTTTGATTTCCTGAACCAATCCAGTCGGGCACTCTACATATTTCTGGAGGCCTCCAAGATACCGTTCGAGGCGATACCCATATCGATGCTCAAAGGTGAGTACGTGATGCGCAGCACACACAGCCACACACATAGGGCCCAAAGGTCGACCCACAAAGGCACACAGCCACACACAAACACGCACATTTCTATGCACTTATGTTGCTGTCCCTTTCATTGATTCGGTTTTTGGAACGAAGTTTTCAACAAATTTTCCGCTCGTTAAAAATTCCAACGGTCAGGTCTCCACTCAAAGGTTTTTGAAGGGGAAAGCGAGGCCCAATGCAATGCCACAGAGATTGAGTAATATCCAAGCCCAAGCCGAAGCCCAAACATGAGGTACAAATAAAAATCCCCCCCCACCCACTGCATTCCGTTCTCTAAATAGTAGAAAACAGCAGTAAAATGGATAATGAATCGAGAATTAAATTCAATTAGTCACAGGAATTTGCACCTAAGTATACTATATGTATATATAAATCGATGTTTGTTTTTGTCGCGAGATAAGTGTACGTGAGGATTCCTTAACAATTATAGGGAGAATTATTGCCATTAGAACGATTACAGAACGTGTCTTTGGCGCACTTAATAATCCATTTCTCACAGCAATTTTCACAGTGATATCTAATGACTACTTATTGGGCATAACATCTGATCTGTGGTAAATCTATCACCTGCTTGCCAAACATTTCTTGGCTAAAAACAGATCAATTTGTTGTGTATGTTTTTTTTTTGTGCTTGCACTCTGAGCGCGCGTGTCACTGCTTAGCACTTTTTTGGGCCACAATAAAAGCGGTTTGAGGCTTGAGGCTTGAGGGCATCTACTGCACATCTCTTTGTTGTTGTGTTGTCTGTTGAGTGGACTTGGTCAAGGTTACAGAGACAGAAACTACGAAACTCTTGCGTGGCGTAGCATCCGCGAACGCATTCAACGGATGGTTAACGCTTAACGAGACCACGCCCCCCATAAACTATAGAATTAATGCGAGGATGCAATCAGGCAGCAGCAGCAGCAGCAGCAAAGGTAGACCATTAACAAGTTGTGCCTTTATACTCGCACATCACATCACATACATACTATACTATGTATACTATATGTATGTGATATGCAATATTGTACACATATCATCACATCACCCCATCCCACCACATCGTATGCGAGTGCGAGTGCGAGTATATATACATATATAATTACGATCTCTTGTCAAGTTGGCTATTTCTTTGTTGACGTCAGCCCCCTATGCACTCCACCGCTGCCCTGCCTTGAAGCGAGCTCCAAGCGATATCCGTGTCTGGGATCCAAGATTCAAGATCCAAGATCGAGATCCCAGTCTCTTCGTTTCTCTGTATGCTAATCGCATGGAATGAAATGGCTGGGCAGGCGCCTGCCTGCCTTCAGCAGATCATCGGAGCTTTTATTTCGTCCAGAGAGAAGAGACAAGAGACAGCGACAGCGACAGCGACTGAAGCAGAGGCAGTGACTGAGACTGAGACTTAGACAGAGGCAGTGACTGCAGCAGAGGCTTAAAGCCTAGACTAGACCGGGGGGCTGGGCCTGAGACCAGTTGGACTTTGCACCCCAGTAGAGTCGCCGCAACTCGACTTGGAGCGAGTGCAGCCACAACACAACACAGCTGCTGCTGCTGCAAAGCTTAGAAAATCAGAGTCAATGCAGGCGGAGGCAACAGCAACGGCAACGGGCGACGGCGACAACCTTGTGGAGGTTAAAGACTCCGATCCAAACCGATACGATACGATACGTTCCGCAGTGCTACGCTGTGGAGGTAAACATTGACTTGGGGACTGTTTGTGGCTGTGGCTGTGGCTACATCGCAATGTTCCATTCGTATCATCGGTGTGTACACTCGATCTATGCCCCCCGAGCAATACGAAGCAGAATCTAATCTTTGGGCCTGCACTTAGTGGGCCTTTCCACTACTGGGGGGAATGGGAAGGCAATTTGCTCCGTAGATAGTTTTCCAATATTTCTTTAATGGGTATTTTTCAGTAGTTTTTTCAGAGAGAGAAATCTGTGAGTATTTCCAGTGATATTTCTACAGTTACATGGTACGACTATTTCTTAGACTTTAATAGGGATCCAAGGCTCACAGCTAGCCCGCTTACACTCCACAGATGATACGTCGGGACTGTCAGTCAGTCAATCAATCAATCAATCAGGCACCGCTCACGGGATGTCAGACCTTCGGTCTGTTCTGCTTTAGTCAACAGTTTCAATCCCATTCAGATAGGGCCATAATTTTGCTTTAATTTGCCAAATGGCAGCAATTATAGAATTGAAAAATTGCCTCTGCTTTTTCAAAATCTAATCAAATGATGTCGGGAATCACAGACTGTCATTTTTTCACGTTCCAGTGCCACCACCCATCCCTCACCCCACACCACACACCCTCCGTCGCCGTCGCCGTCCCCGTCCCAGTCGGTGACTGTCAGAGACAGTCTGACTAATCAATTAATTTCCATGAAATTTTCACTTAATTTCTTTGTTTTTGCACACCCCAAGTGGCACCCATGCTTTGCCATGCCCCAATCACGATGGGAGTCATGCACATGCCACCATCTTACTTAAATTGCCTGCTTACTCAGTTTGTTTATATAGTTTTCGATTCCGCAGATGTCAGGGCTGTCTAATTATAGACTTCCATCATCATCATCATCATTATCATTATCTCCCTTTCCACTCACCTCTCTACCGCCTGTTGTTTGGGTTCCGTTCTGTTCTGTGCCGTGGGAGTGGGAGGCCCTACAAGTGCCACGAGCAGTACCCTTATTTCTATACACATGCGAGTACTATGTACCCTTATCAAGTGCTGCGATATGTTCTCATAACCTTGATGACAGCACATATTGACATTGACAATGACTTTGGGGCCTGGGCCTGGGGCTGCGGCTGGGGCTGGACACACCCTCTTTTCGGGTGCAATCTTCGGTTCTTATCGTCGGACTGGACTCCTTCCGTATCGTATGATGTGATTGTGGGGCGGGACTCTTCTTTATTATTTTTTTCGGGGGGGGGTCACCTGTTGCCGATAGTGGCAGTTGGTGGACGTGCATCAGGCGATGCCCTGATATTTTGGCACTTATCGCTTTTCTCGTCTTCTCTCTCGCTTTTTGCAGGCGAGCACTTGACTGGAGAATTTCGGGACAAGGTTAACCGGTTCCGCAAGCTGCCGGCTATCACCGACCATGGCTACCAGCTGTCGGAGAACGTGGCCATCTTCCGGCATCTGGCGCGGGAGAAGCTCGTGCCGGAGCACTGGTATCCACGCCGACAGCTCGGCCGCAGCCGCATCGACGAGTACTTGGCCTGGCAGCAGACGAACATGGACGTGGCCTGCACGGACTACTTCCAGCAGAAGTGGCTGGTGCCGTATCTGCAGAAGACGCGTCCAGCGGAGAATGCGGTAAGTCCTCGTCGCTCTGTCCCCATCTCTAAACTAATCTCTCGCTCCGATGATCCACAGGTGAATGTGGCTGGCAAGCAGCTGGAGCACACGCTCAACGATTTCGAGCAGCTTTTCCTCAATTCGCGCAAATTCATGATGGGGGACAACATCTCGTTTGCCGATCTCAGTGCCATCTGCGAGATCGATCAGCCCAGTGAGTATCCCATTAGAGAAGAGAGAATCCTCTCAGCGAATCATAGCCCAATCTCATGCCTGTACCACTTTCTAATCCGCACAGAGTCCATTGGCTTCAATGCCTTCCAGAACCGCAACAAGCTGGCCCGCTGGTACGAGGCTGTGCGCGACGAGCTGGGGCCCTACTACAAGGACGTTCACGGGGAGTTCGAGGCCAAGCTGAAGCAGAGCAGCAGCGGCAGCAGCAGCAGCAGCAGTAGCCAGGGGCAGCAGGGCGTGGCCCAGGCCCTGAAGCAGTAAAGAGCCTCCAGGACCCACCACCCCACAAATCTTGATTAGTTTTAACGATTATTAATTATTAACTACCTTTTTTTTGCACAGTCTATTATGTGTATTCTTTTCCCTTTTTTTTTTTGCAATTCCCCCCCTACTACGCCTTTCCCCCCATCCCTTTCGATCTATGATCTATTTAGTATTTAGTTGTTAAATATCTTAATTATCCATACATAAAGTACGCTTACGATTGTTTAACCAAAATCACGAATAACTGGCAAATATCTGTAGACTGAAGAATCCGTAGAATATCCGTAGATGCAGATATGCTTGAGAAAGAGAATGGAACCAGTTGGAATACACATTATCAGACTAGGATACCTTGCTGCTGGCGCTGATCCGAATTGAATTTACCTGTAGCTGCTGTACTGCAGCGAGTTTTAGCAATAAGTAACAACAATGAGTTACATTTACATTTAGGGTTCATATATATTTCGATTAACATCTGTATGGGTCGAGGGTGGGGGGTCGCCTGCGTTGGACGAGCGAGTGCTGGTGCTGGTGCAGGTGCAGTTGCTGCTAAGGCTGGACGTGGAGGGATCTAGATCAGGATGAGAGCATGAGGTCGGTGTGGGTGTCGGTGTGGGTGAGTGCATGCGTGCGTGCGTGTACAAAATATAGGAGCTGCATCAGGATCAGGATCAGGATCAGGATCTGCCTGCTTATATCACAATGAGATTTGTATACACAGAAATTGTTGTATTTGTATTTGTGTGTGTAGAGGAATGCTGATGCAGAGGCTCGTGGCTGGAGCGTGGGCTCCCCTCCCCATTCATTTCATGGTGGAGTCGGGAAAGGCGTCGCGCGGCGGCTTGAAGCTTAGCATCATGATGTGGCGAGCGTAGGATTTGGTGGCACGGAACAGTGAGTCGGTGCCATGCAGGCGATCGAGCACTCCCAGGACCCCAAAGCAGTTGCTGAATCTGTCCAAAAAGTGTATGGAAATAAAGGAAATCAAAGAAGAGCAGGGCGAAAACTCACTTTAGATGGTGAAAGTCGTGGGCCTCGGGGCTGGGGAAGAAGGGCAAGTGGTAGCCGGAGTGGGCATTGAGGGTGGACAGAATGGCCAGGGCGAACCACAGCCAGGCGGTGGCCACATGGCAACCCATGAGAAATACGCCCAGAAAGGGGGGCAGCAGGTTGCTGAAGATGTGCTCGATGGGGTGGCAATAGATGGCCGTCACCGATATGGGGGCCGTCCACTCGTGGTGCTGCTTGTGGATGTACTTGTAGATGAACTTGTGGTGCAGCAGGCGGTGCGAGTAGTAAAATCCCAGCTCCTCCATCAGTATGCAGACGGTCAGCTCGAAGCATACCCAGTGGAATGTGGGCAGGTCCCTGATGTCGCTCAGCCCACGGATCTCCATCAGCCGATAGCTGCCATAGGCCAGTGGTATGCCCACAAATATCTGATTGAAGATCACACACCAAATGACCTTACAGCGGAGAAAATATATCAATTCAGATCAATTTCATATTCATATTAATTAATAAATAATGTCACACACCTTCAGCAGACGTCGCGTCTCGACGGGCTCATTGGTGCCCGGCTGAATCTTGTATTTGCGCAGACAGGCAGGCCGGTTGGTCAGGTCCATGAACGTGTAGATTGTGCCAACGGTCCAGTAAACGATCATCGTGAATATAGTGGTGCCAAAGACCCAGAGGACCATGGGTTCATCGCCTGAAATGCATTAAATAAAGTGATTTAAGTGAATGAGAAAGCTACAATGGACTATGAGTATGCCCCAGAGGACTGATGAACTAATCGTTCAAACAGCAGGGGATGAGACAGAGACAGAGAGAGCGAGAGAGAGAAAGAGAGTACTTAATGCATTCCTGATTAGCAACTGCAGGTTCAAACTGATTATGGGGGTTAGATCATTTAGTTCCTAAATAATATTTATATACTAAGAGCAAGAAAATCTGGCCCTAAGCTAATGCATTTATTGACTGGCATTAGCTCATTAGCATTAGCACGTTCAATGACCCTTAAACTGCATTCTAAAATGTTTACAGCTTTCAGATATCTCAGAGACCCCATTTAATTGGGTATGAAGGTTCGTTCTCCCGGAGTGCCTCGTTACGATAAGCAAACAAGTTGCGGAAACCAACACACATTGCGCAGTTTAGAAATATGATACAGGGATCGGATCCGTCATACGTTCCTTTTCTTCAGATATGCAGACATAATACTGATGGAAAGTGTGCAAATTTCAATTAATATCAGGGGCGGTGGGGAGCCCTGAGTAACCTTAACGATTCATTTTGCGTAATTGGCAGCACTTGTCAACTGATCTCTTAATCTCCTCTCCGTGTCTTTTTCTCATTCTCGGTGTGAAATGCAATCATTGTGTGTGTGTGTGTGTGTGTGCGCGCGAGCGAATTAGTAAACAAAACAATGGACTGCATGCATGCTGGGGCAATATCAGAATTTGCACAATCTCCCCCTCTCTCTCTGCCACTCTCTTGTTGGAGTACACAGAGTATGCACAGAGAGGGTGAGCAAAGTACGAATTTTGATCACACTTACCAAACGAATCGATGAACTTGTCCCACTGCGATTGCCAAAAGTCACCGGAGGCGCCCCAAAAGCTCTGCAGATGCCTGGCGTACAAATAAGAAACCTCAACAAATTTCTCCTCCATGATGGGCAACAACAAAAAACAAAAATAGCAACAACAAAATCTTCTGCCTTAGCTTAGCTTATTATTTTTGTTCTTATTCTGTTGCGGATTTCTCTTTCTCTCTCCAGGAATGTGCGTGTGTGTTTGTGTGTGTGTCGGGGAAAGGCAGAAGCCCAATTGGGCTTGGAGTCTGATCTTCGTGGGGCAACGTCGCAAACGCAACTGATTTTGGAATGCGAATAGCAATGGCAATGGAATGGGATGGGGGATCGTGGCCAGAATGTGCGGAAGCACAGTTCAAAGCCAGACTCTCACTCTCAGTTGGATTCATTCAGCCCCCGGGAGAGAGACAGTGCGACGCACACACACACACACGCTTACACTCGGAGAGAACGGCGGTAGGTGAGAACAGCTGATTACGATCTACCGAAAGAGAGAGAGAGAGAGAGAGAGAACAACAACAACACTGACCAGGTGAGAACGTTGCGAAAGAGTATAAACACGGCCAGAGCGCACGTAATGATGAAGATGACGCTGTGCAGTGAAGAGAGCCAGACATCGGCGGTGCGGTGCTCGTCCCAGGATCCTGATCCAGAACCGGCGGATGAATGCATCTGCTCCAGCTTGCTGGCATGCTAGTCGAGAGCAGGCGAGAGAGAGGGAAAGAGAGAGGCAACTGTTAGGGGGCAGGACGAGGGATGTGCGGTGGCTTACATCATTGAGGGTTAGGTAAACGGGAGGTAGACCAACTTTATCCTTGTGCGTCGCAGATCCATACGATCCTCCTGAGGATGAGGCGGCGGCTGTGCCTACGGGCGGCACTGTCAGGGACACGGGCGATGAGGACGAGGACGTCGACGAGGATGAGTAGGATGTGGCTTGGGCGGAGGAGGCATTGTTGGGCGGCCTTCCATGAGCCGGATGGGACATGTCTGCCGCTGCTTACGCTTTCAAATTTATTTACTTATTTGTTGCTCTCCTTCCTTGCCTTTTCTTCTCGTACGTTCCGTTTGTTATGGCCCGTGCTGTATATATGTTGCCCTTGACATTTAAAGGATTTCGATTTTTCGATTTCACTGGAATTTCAAATCAATGTGTGTGTGAGTGCGTGTGTTCCTGTGCGTGCGTTCTTAGGGTTGTCGCCTTAAACAAATTGCCAGCATTGCAATTGTTGTTGACTCTGGAGCAAAATACGCATTAAATCCGTTTTCTGCAGTTGCCGCGAAAAATCGTTTCGTTTGAATTTATCGCCTGTTTGTACGCGCTTGGACCGACAGCTCACACACACGCACACAATTGCACAATCAGCTGCTTGTATTTGGACCGAATACCTGTGAAAAATACCGTGAACGTCAATTGCAACTCCGCTTATCGCACAAAAATACCGATATTGTTTTTTTGGAACTCTGTGCATCTTCCGACATAAAACAACCGATAAAAAGTCCCTGAAAGTTGCCATTGTTTATGATATACCCCACAAACATGTCCATAAAATATGCTATATATATCGATATTTATTTACCATCTCTAATAAACAAAAAATGTACGGTTTTGGAAATGACAGGAGGAGGAGTGTAGTGTATTTCTTCTGTGGGTGTGCTTCCTGCTCTAGTATTGATAGTGAATGCCGTTAGAGTCTAACGGTTAGACTAAGGCTAACTGTATTTAGATTCAATCGCGCAAGGAGCGGCGCGTGCATTGTCCGGCGCAGCCTACACAAAAGCCGACAATCTGTGCGTAAGCCCACCCGCACCCCCACACCCCACCGTATTGAGTAAGAGTGAGTTTTTTTTTCCTGGTGAGTGTTTTTTTTTCCAAGCAAATTCTTTGCACGCTAATCTTTCCGCTTTCTTCTTTCTTGTACGCGAGCAGACGCCACCAGCCACCACTGGCGAGTGACTCCATGGACGACTCCAATCCCATGCCCAGCACCTCGGTCGGTGCCGCACGTGGCCGAGGACGCGGACGGCCGCCAAAGCGGGAGAGCGCACAGCACCCCGATGCAGACCTGCAGACCTCTCAAGATGCATCGTCCGGTGGTTCGGTGGGGCGCACCTGTTCGCCCAACACCATCCGTCGCAGCTCCCGCAAGAGATTCTGCAAATTCGACGTGCGCGACGTCCTCAGCCTGCGCAAGGAGCACAAGATCCAGATCGAGGGACGCATCGACTCCAATGTGCCCGACACGGCACCAGCTGCGCCTTCCACAGCTGCCATCGCCGCTGCCACTGCCACTGCCAGCATTCCGTCAGCCAATCGCCTGTTTGCGATGTTCCCGAGCACCCGCCCACCGCCCAAACTGCCGCCGCCACCCGCTGCCCTGGGGATCTTTGTGAAGCCGCGGAGCACACCGAGCCTGATCGTGGCCCAGCTGAACAGCGAATCCTCCAGCTGCAATCCGTCGACTGCGACAGCCGCAACTGCCACTGCGACAGCGACAGCAGTGTCCGCAGCATCTGTCGTCCGCAGGGGGCGAGGGAGGCCCAGGACCAAGAATAAGCTGGACAAGTCAAGCAGCCAGAGCAGCAGCCTCAGCTTGAGCTTCTCCGATTCGGACACCAATTCGACAGGCGCCTCCACGACGGGCAGCATCGGCAGCAGGGGCAGCACGGACAGCAACGAGACGGCGCCCAGACGAAAGTGCCGGGTGACCCTCAAGCGACTGAACTTTGTGCACCGTCAGGGATCGTGGGACTCGGGCGACTCGACCGTCCTGGGCGACGCCGTGGTGGATGTTAGCAGCTCCTCGTCCTCCGCCGCCTCGACGCCCGTCCTGCAGGATGACAATGCTCTCGATGAGCAGCCAAAGAGGGAGCCGCTGCCGCCGCGGCTGCAGCTGCCCGTGTCCGTGTCCGTGCCCACAGCCGACGACGATGATGACGACTCGTCGGACTCTCAGATAATCTTTACGGAAATCGACACGGGCAGGGAAGTGACGGGCCGAAGGAAGGGGGAAAAAGAGGAGGATGAGGAGGAGGAGGTGGAAGAGGAGCCTCTACAGCTGAAGCTGGATTTAAAGAAAGAGCCAGAGATTGAGGAGGATTTGCAAATTGAGCAACAGAAGCTGGAGGAGCACGAGCACGAGCAGGAGCCAGAAGTGTGTAATTTATTGGTGGAGATCTCTGGCGGTTCGCCCACCTTCTGGTTCGATGACGGCGAGGAGGAGGAGGAGGAGGAGACCAGCCCGACCTCACTGACGGCGACGCGGCGCAGCAGACGAACCGCCAAAGCGGAGGGAGCCAGCAGCAGCAACAGCAGCAGCCATGTGGGCAAAACCCTCGAGGAGACCTTCGCCGAGATAGCCGCCGCAAGCAGCAAGCAGATCCTCCTGAAAGCAGAGACTGACTCCCCCTCCGAAGCGGACGAAGAGGAGGAGGAGCACACGCTGATTGACCTGATCGATGATAGCCAGGACGAGGGCATCCAGGGGGAGTACGAGGTGGTTCTCGACGAGCAGAAGGACGAAGTGCAAATGCAAATCATTGAGCTGGACGCTCCAGCAGAGTATACCCTCATGCAGGTGCAGGAGCAAGCGCAGGAGCCGCTTGAGGAGTCGCAGGTGAAGAGCCCCAGCAGCAGCAGCAGCACCAGCACCAGAGTCCTGCCAGAGGAGGAATCACAGCCGCAGACGATCATCATTTTTGAAGTTGATGCTGAAGAGGAGGAGAAGGCCACCACAGAGCAGCCCCCCGTGGATGTGGATGTGGATGTGCACCCAGAACCAGAACATGAACCAGATGTGGTCGAGGATGTTGTGATTATCCAGATCGCCATGGATGCCATGCCAGAACCACAACCAGAGCCAGAACCACAGCCAGAGCCACAGCCAGAGCCACAGCCAGAGCCAGAGATCTCACTAGAAATTGAATCATCAAAGACGGCACTGAAGACTCCTCCACAGCCACAGCCACAGCCTCTGCAGGAGAAAGATAAGGAGGAGAAGGAAGTGGTGACTCCTGCAGATGAGCCAATTCCAATGCCAATGGAAATGGAAATCAAAATCCCAACGGAGTCCCTGCCAGAGCCAACCAAGGCAGCCAAGGGCCCTGGCCCATCCAAAGCGGATCCTTTTGCAGAGGAGAAGCCAAAGGAAAACGAAAACGAAATTCCCATCAAAGCTGAGCAGAGCGCAGAAATACCCAGCTGCAGCAGCAGCAGCAGCAGCAGCAGTCACTCCCAAGCCAGTCTCCAGCCCACTGCCACTGCCACTTCCACTGCCAAAGCCAAGCCAGTCAAGGGCAGGGGGGCATCACCTTCCAGCATCGTTGAATGCGATGCCATGTTCCAGGCCCTGGAGAGTGCCAATGCCCAGAAGCTGCGCGAGGAGACGCACAAGAAGAAGCTCAAGCTGGAGGCCAAGAAGGCAGCCACATCGCCCGTGCCATCAGCGAGCAGCGTTGGGGGCCAGACAAAGACGACCAAGACGACGCTCGGGGGAAGGTGCAACTCGCGCAGAAACACCTCCTACTACTCCACGAACGAAATGCATCCCGTGGCCAGACCCCAGGCCAAAAATGAGAAGCTGTCTGCCACGAAAAAGACTGACCCACGAGGCGCCACCACAGCCGATGGAGCTGTGGAACAGCTGGAGGCGGAGGCGGAGACGGAGGCTGCTGCAAATGGACATAACAGGAAGAAAAAAACGGAAGATCTGGAGGAAGAGTCCTCCTCGTGCTCCTCGCAGCAGGAGCCTGCATCGAGTGCTGCATCCAAAAAGGGGAATGGAAGTGCCACAACGAAGCCAAAGCGACGCAAATCCCAATGCTCTCCAGCCTCCGCCTTCGCTTCGTACGATTCCCGGAAAGATGAGGCCAAAAGACAGTCCCCGGTGGCACCAAAGAAACAAAATGCCATGCCATCGCGACGCTTTACTACCATCGATCGTCCCTCGTCCAGTGCAACACCACGCGGCGCCTCCTTCGGCGACTTTTGTAAATATGAGACTAGGAAGGCATCACCAGGAGGACGGACGCAGTCGCCAGCGGGCAATGCATCCGCAAAGCGACGCCCCACCATGTCCCCCACCGGCTCCTCGATGGAATCGCTGGCCCAAAAGGACGCCAAGAAAGATGAGGGAAAAAGGACAGCATCATCATCACCAGGAGGAGGGAGGCAGTCGCCAGCGCATCTCATCAAAAATATACGCAAATCGCGCGCCTCCGGGGAGTCGCTTGTCCAGGCCGATGACTCACCCAGGAGAGCATCACCCAGGAACCCAGCCACAAAGCGACGCCCCACCACTTCCGGTCGCTGCTCGCCCGTCTTCTCCCCTGGCGGGGAATCGTTGGCCAGGAAGGATGAAACGGCATCCCCCAGGCCACAGTCTCCGGCGGCAGCTGCGGCTGCGGCTCCGGCGGCACCCAAAGAGGAGGCGAAGGCCATTAAAACGCAACGCCTCACAGCCATCGATCGTCCGGCGTCGAATGCTAAAGGGCCGCGCCCCTCCTTCGAGGCATTGCTTGGCCAGGCCGACTCCTATGCGAAGTCGCAGAAGAAGCCACCACGCCCCACCGCCTCCGGGCGCTGCTCGCCCACCTCTGCCTGCTCCTCCGGCGACCCTGCAGTGGCCCGAGCCCCCGAAGCCAGAAAAGTTGATGGCGGGGATGGCGCAGCATCGCCACAGAGGCCAGCGAATGCCATACGATCGCGACGCTTCACAACCATCGATCGCACGTCGTTGAGTGTCTCGCCCGAGGGCTCCAGGCGGACGCAGTCGAAGCCATCCTCCCCAGCCAGAGAGACGTCCCCAGACTCTGCGGCCAGTACTGGCTCACAGCGAAAGAGTCGCTCGATGCAGCCATCCCCGGCGACTGGTGGCTCCAAGCTGCAGGGGAAGAAGATCGACAACCGTCGCCTCACCCTGGGGGCGCACAGTGCAGCGGCGGACATCACCCCGGAACTGATTGAGGCGTGCTTCAAGGATCTCGCTGCAAGGGCAGAGGATGCTGGTCCGCTGGCAGCCGGTACAGCAAGAAAACAGTCGCAGTCGCAGTCGCAGTCGCCAGCACCCAAGCAGGGAGCAGAACCACAGAAGACCCTCAGCCACAGCCACAGCCACGCACCGCGAGAGACTTTATCCGCGAGGAAGGGTAGCAGCGGCAGCATCAGTAGCAGCTCGTCCTCGTCGAAGGAGCCATCCTCCAGGACGTCGTCTCCGGCGGCAAATGAGCCCAAGATAAAGAAGATCCATGCCAGGCGCAGGACCGTAGCGGAGCCAAGAACCGGAACCCCGGATCCAACTGCTAGCGCAAAGAAGGGCTCCAGGACGGCATCGCCGGAGCCTCTGCTGGCGAATGATGCCCCACATGCCGTGAGTCCCGTGAATCCCGTGAATGCCGTGAGGAAAAATGCCGATCCCCGTGGCAGAAACGCCTCCCCCGCAGAAAAGCTAGAAAAGGGAGCAGAAAAGGCAGAAAAGGGGGAAACTTTACCCAGCCGAAGGGGTCCGCTGCCCTTGAAGCATGGACCGAAATCCCCGTTGCCGCTGGATCATCGTCGCCGGATCACCATATGCGCTGAGCCCGTGCTGGCTGCTGCTGCTTCTGCCGGTTCCCCCTTGAGGAGTGCCGATCCGAGAGTCAGAAATGCCTCTCCCGCGGATCCCACACCCTGTGCCAGCCCCAGCCCCAGCCCCAGCCCCATGCCTGGTCACATAACCCGGACGGATAGGACGCTGCCCAAGAAAGCAGCGAACTCGGCTCCTGGCCCGAAGCAGACGGCTGCCGCGACACCAAAGAAACCCAAGGGCCCGAAGGTGACAGCCAAGCGGACAGGCGAGTCGCCAGATCCCAGCAGCAACAGCGGCAACAGCAGGAAGCAGCGTAGGCCAACGACAACCGTCAAGACCAGCGATGATGCTTTGGTTATGCCCCCGAAGACGGAGCCTAAAACGGAGGACATGGACACGGAGTCCATGGAGTCAACGAGTGGCAAAGGCAAACGCTGGGATGTGCAGCCCACAGCCCCGACTGCAGCTTCAGCCTCAGCGTCAGCTTCAGCTTCAGCTACGATTGCAACCGCAACTGAAGCGCCAGCTGCTGCGGCTGTGGCTGCTACTGTTAAGGTGGAGCCGCCCGATACGCTCAAGGACATCGTCAAGTTCATCGAGGATGGGGTGAATCTGCTGAAGCGGAACTACAAACACGAGGACGAAGACGAGGACGAGGCTCAGCCGGCGGCGCCAGAGGCGCCACAGATGCAGCTGGTGAAAGTGAAGCTGGAGGAGGCATTGGCCAGCGCCAGCTGCATGGAGACGCCGTCGGTGACACGCTCCCCCACGCCCAGCGGCAGTGCCAGTGCCAGCTGCAGTTCCAGGGCCAATACGACCACCTCAGAGGACTCCTCCCCGACGCTGCCCCTGCTGCTGCTGCAGCAGCATGGCTCCAATGATGATGGCAGCGCTGGCGGCGTGCGACGCTCGCATCGGATCAAACAGAAGCCGCAGGGGCCGAAGGCCAGCCAGGGCAGGGGCGTGGCCAGCAGTGCGCCGCCCTTCAGCATGGACGACCAGATGGCGGAGCTGGCCAGCACGGAGGCCTTCAACGAGCAGTTCCTGCGCAGCGAGGGGCTGCTCACGTTCCAGCAGCTGCGCGAGAACTACTACCGATGTGCGCGGCAGGTGAGCCAGGAGAACGCGGAGATGCAGTGCGACTGCTTCCTCACGGGCGACGAGGAGGCCCAGGGGCACCTGTGCTGCGGCGCGGGCTGCATCAACCGCATGCTGATGATCGAGTGCGGCCCGCTGTGCACCAACGGGGAGCGGTGCACGAACAAGCGCTTCCAGCTGCACCAGTGCTGGCCCTGTCGCGTCTTCCGCACCGAGAAGAAGGGCTGCGGCATCACCGCAGAGCTGCTGATACCCGCCGGCGAGTTCATCATGGAGTACGTGGGCGAGGTGATCGACAGCGAGGAGTTCGAGCGGCGGCAGCATCGCTACTCGAAGGACCGCAACCGGCACTACTACTTCATGGCGCTGCGGGGCGAGGCGATCATCGACGCCACCATGCGGGGCAACATCTCGCGGTACATCAACCACAGCTGCGACCCGAACGCCGAGACCCAGAAGTGGACCGTCAACGGGGAGCTGCGCATCGGCTTCTTCAGCGTGAAGAACATCCTGCCGGGCGAGGAGATCACCTTCGACTATCAGTACCAGCGGTACGGGCGCGACGCCCAGCGCTGCTACTGCGAGGCGGCCAACTGCCGCGGCTGGATCGGCACCGAGCCGGAGTCGGACGAGGGCGAGCAGAAGAACGAGAACTCCGAGCGAGACCAGGCCCAGACGGACGACACGGACAGCGGCGGGGCGGAGTCCGATGCGGAGGAGGCGGAGGCGGAGCCGGAGCAGAGCAAGAGCAGCGGCAAGGGCAGAGCAGGTGCGGGTGCCACGAAGAACAGCTCGTCCAGGTTCAAGGTGAAACTGCCAGCGGTGTCCAAGGAGCAGCGCAAGAAGCGGGAGACGGCGGCCAAGGCCAAGGAGCGGGAGCGCGAATTCAAGGCCGGCCGCTGGCTGAAGCCCACTGCGGGAGCTGGAGCTGGCGCGGGCGCGGGCGCAGGAGCAGGAGCAGATAAGAAGGATCCGCGCAGTGCAAAGCCAAAGGTCAACAAATTCCATGCCACACTCGAGGATCCGGATGTGCTGGAGCAGCTGTCGCTGCTGAGCCGCAGCGGATTGAAGAACCAGCTGGACACGCTGCGCGTCTCGCGCATCATGGTGCGGGCGAAGCTGCTGCCGACCCGCATCCAGCTGCTGCAGGTGCTCACCCGCGGGGAGCTGCCCTGCCGGCGGCTCTTCCTGGACTACCACGGACTGCGGCTGCTGCACGCGTGGATCAGCGAGAACGGGAACGAGCAGCAGCTGCGGACGGCCCTGCTGGACGCCCTCGAGGCGCTGCCCATACCAAACAGGACGATGCTGAACGAGAGCCGCGTCTACCAGAGTGTGCAGCAGTGGAGCGCGGGTCTGGCTGGGCAGCAGCCGCAGCTGCGCAGTCCCGAGCAGTCGGCACTGCGCAAGCGGATGCAGGGCCTGATCAGCAAGTGGAGCAGCCTGCCGGAGATCTTCCGCATCCCCAAGCGGGAGCGCATCGAGCAGATGAAGGAGCACGAGCGCGAGGCGGACCGCACCGGCGAGCGGCCCACCGAGAAGCATGTGGCCAGCCACCATGTGACCGCCGCCTCCGCCCTGGAGGACTCGACGCGCGACAGCAGCACCGACCGCTACCGGCAGGATCGCTTCCGGCGCGACACAATCAGCAGCCGCAACAGCGGCGGCGGCGGCCAGAAGCCGCCCATGAGCCGCATGAGCGGCAACAACACCATCTGCACCATCACCACCCAGCCGAAGGGCAGCAATCCCGCGGAGGGACAGCCCCGCACGGAGATGCGGCGGCGCCCGGACAACAACAACAGCGGCGCCACAGTGGAGGCGCGTCGTGGCGGCGGCGGTGCGCTGCTGTCCAAGGAGCTCAGGCGATCCCTGTTCGAGCGGAAGGTATGTATACAGATATATATCGTTGCATCCGATATATCGAGTCCAATCCGCTCCGATCCGATAGTACAAATGTCACAAATGTTCTCCTCTCCTCTCCTCTCCTAACTGGAGAGGAGGATTCGTTCAACTTTCCATTTTCCATTTTCCACTTGAGCGAAGAAATTTCGAAGAAGGAGCAATGTGGTTGAAGGCTACGCCGGATAAAGTAAAGGCGGAATATCCATAAAAATAATAATAATAATAAATGACTATCCTTAATGCTCTTTGACAGGTGGCCCAGGACGAGGCCGAGAAGCGTGTGTGCAGCGAGGACTGGCGCGAGCACGAGCTGCGCTGCGAATACTTTGGAGCGGACATCAATACGGACCCGAAGATGCTGCCCTTCTCCTACAACACGGAGACCGGCGAGTGGTTCAACTCGGAGGATGTGCCCGTGATGGCACCGCTGCGCACAGACCTGGCGCTGGCCCCCTCGCCGGAGATGAGCGAACAGGACATGATGCCCGCGGAGTACAAGCTGCCGGCTAGCGTCGATCCGCTGCCCCCCTCCTGGCACTGGAGTCGCACACACGAGGGGGACATCTTCTACTTCAATCTGCGCGATCGCATACCCCAGTGGCTGCCGCCCAGCCCCGAGCAGCGGCTGCAAACGCTGCTGGATGAGGACCAGAAGCATCAGCCGCCGCTGCAGGAGCTGGACCCGGCGCTGCTCGCCGTGGAGCTCATCTCGGTGGACCCCGACTATGTGGGCTCGCTGTCGAGCAAGTCGCTGGCGCAGCACATCGAGACGAAGGTGCGGGAGCGGCGCGAGATACGCCACAAGAAGCTGTGCTCGGTGCGCGTGATCAGCCCGCGGCGGGACGAGGATCGGCTCTACAACCAGCTGGAGTCGCGCAAATACAAGGAAAACAAGGAGAAGATACGCCGCCGCAAAGAGATCTACAGGCGGCAGCGGGCCAGCGCGGATACCTCCGCCGCAGCCACCTCCGATGCCAGCACAGATGCGGAGGCCTGGTCCACGCCTCGCTATCTGTACTCGTCGGACGAGGACGCGGAGACGGTGCATGCCCCGCCCTTGGAAGGCATCATCTATGGCTTTAATGGTTCAGCCGGGGCGCTGTTTTCCACCACAAAGGTGGACGAACTGGAGGCGGAGCTCGACATGGAGCCCAGCACCAGCGCCTATGCCCTGGCCTGCCTGAACAAGCCCCAGCAGATACCCACGCTGGTCACAGGCGGCAGCGGGGGCGGCATAAACAAAAAGCTGCCACCACTGCCACCGCACACGCCAGAGAAGCCGCCGTCTGGAGCCGTGCCAGAGAGAAAGAGTCGCGGCCATGAGCGCAGCAAACCCAAGCGGAAAATGTAAGGAAACAAAAATTGAATTTATTTATTTATTGATTCAATTCCATTCCTATCCTTTCCATTTGCTGCCCAATTTAGGTTCCTGAATAGCACAAAAAGTGGAAGAGAATCGATTGAGAAATTCCGCTTCGAGATAAGCGGACATGTGGCGGACTTTTTGCGGCCATTCCGCAAGGATAGCTGCCAGATGGGTCGCATCACCAGCGACGCGGACTACAAGTTCCTCATTAAGCGGGTAAGCAATGCCATCTCCAATGCCATTCCCCCCATTGAAGATTACACTGAACCTGGAACCTGTTTTCAGCTGACGGAGCATGTCATTACGAAGGAGATGCGCTACTGCGAGATGAGCGGACATCCATTGATCTGCAACGATTCGGTGAAGCACAAGTCGCACGATTTCATCAATCAGTACATGCTGAAGAAGGGCCGCGTGTACACCATGCCTCTGGATGAGTCCTTCCTCTAAAAAAACACAAGCCCCAACACACACACACCAAAAACAAATGCCGCCGCACTTCCTGTTCGATTCCGGTTCGATTCATTTAGCTTGTAAGAACGTAGAACGGACTTTTGTTGCCGTATAGCAAATTGTGTTCGCCTAGCCAGTACCAAAAGGGTAAAGGGTAAAGGGCTCGTTCCAACGTACTCGAACACATTTATAATGATCATAATAATAGATAAATATAAAAAGAACAGAACAAGACGAAGTATTGATTTCTAATCAACAAAACGAAAATAGTCTAGAAGTACGTAAGAAAATAGAAATAAGGAGAAAAAAAAACACCAGAGATAAACGAAACGTTCAATCTGTAAGAGAAATGTGTCCTATATGTGCTATATAGGATATGCATATCCTATAACCCACAGCATACAAGTTTAAGTTCGGTTAAGTAAGTAAAATGTATCCCATATCCCATATCCCACTTCCCATCTTTATCCAAATGAATGTTTAAGTGCACTAAAGTAAAGCAAGAGCAATAAAAGGTCGAATCTGTGAAATTTTAAAATCTTAGCAAAATGTATATCCCATATCCGATCCCATGTATATCCAAAAGTAAGAAAGCTCAAGTTCAGTAAAGTCTCAGTAAGAATAGCCTTGTATTCGGTATTTTATTATTCCAGGCTGCTCAAGGAATGTCTCCCCAAAAGCATCTAGGGCTGGGTTACATGGCAACTGAATCGCTGCTCTGTAGGCCCACAAACGGAAGCCCACAGCCACCCAATTACAGATGGGTAAATTATGAGAAACAACAAAAAAAAAAGGGGAAAATTAAACAAGGATCTTTCCCACTACTTTGTAGATACGACCTAACTGCAAATATTTCTGTCTTAAATCTTCTGTTAACACTTGAACGGGCAATCCAATTCAATGCAATCCAATCTACAATTGAATCCTTTCGTTTCGGGATATCTCTCGAGTGCCACAAAATGCAAACAATTGAAAGTGGAATGCCCTACCATACCGGGCCTTCCGGTTGGGAGCCGGAACCACCAGACAATATGGGAGAGAGTTGGCACAACTGACAGCCGTTAACATGTTCTGACCCTGTTCTCAGAGATATTTCCATCGCTCTAAATCATCTGTTGTTGTAAAGAATAACTGCGGGCGGGGGATTGGCTGGAATGGCACAATAACCGGCTAGCTGAAATAGTCCAAAGCATTTTAGGTAACCCTCAGGGGTCTGCCTAGAGAGAGAGCGAGTTAAATGCGCAGGAAACTCGAATTGGAAAATAAATTGTTTGTGTTTATTCGTTGAATAAGTTAAGGTCTTGTGAGGGGGCACAACTGGGACCAGAATACAAGTAATATTACATCACGACTGAGTCGTCGGATCATCTCATCATCTCGGATCGTAATCCTACTGCTTAACAGCGGCCTCCGGGACGGCCTCGGCTGCTGTGCCAGCTGCTGGGGTGCGATTGGCCTCCTCCGGCTTCATGGCAGGGAACAAGAGAACCTCCTGCAAATGGACAACGGACAGAAATTGAATAGAGATCGTTTTTCGAGGGGAAGTGACAGTTGAAGGAGACAATTGATGGTACCTTGATGTTGTTCGAGTCGGTGAGGAACATGGTCAGACGATCGATGCCCATGCCAAAGCCCCCAGTGGGTGGCAGGCCGTACTCGAGGGCCGTGCAGAAGTTCTCGTCGACCATCTGAGCCTCGTCATCGCCGGCAGCCTTGTCGCTGGCCTGCTGCTCGAAACGTTCACGCTGTACCACGGGATCGTTCAGCTCGGTGTAGGCGTTGCAGATCTCCTTCTTGGCGACGAACAGCTCGAAGCGCTCGGTGAGTCCGGGTGCGCTGCGATGGTACTTGGCCAGGGGCGACATGATCTGCGGATGTTCGCAGATGAACGTCGGATTGATGCAGTCCTCCTCGATAAACTCCCCCACCAGCTTGTCCAGCAGGCGGGCGGTGGTGCGCGGCGCCGGGCACTCGACCTGATGCTTCACGCACAGCTGCGAGAGGAAATCGGTGGTGGCGCGCGTGTTAAAGGTCTCAGCGGAGGGGAACTGCACCTTGAGCTTCTCCTCGAGCGTCTTGATCATCGAGACGCGCTTGAAGGGGGGCGTAAAGTCGAGCTCCTGCTCGGGCCCCTCGGGACCCTCCGGATGGTACTTGATCTTGTAGGAGCCGCGTATCGACTTGACCATGCCCGAGACCATCTGCTCGGTGATGTCCATCACGTCGGCATAGTCCGCGTACGCCATGTAGAACTCGCACGTCGTGAACTCTGGATTGTGGGTGAGGTCGATGCCCTCATTGCGGAACTGCCGCCCAATCTCGTAAACGCGATCGAGTCCGCCCACCACCAGCATTTTGTGGTAGAGCTCCGGGGCGATGCGCATGAACAGGTCCATCTTCAATTCGTTGTGATGTGTGACGAAGGGCTTGGCCGTCGCCCCACCGGCCACCATATTCATCATGGGCGTCTCAATCTCCAGGAAGCCCAAGCGATCCAGGAACTGTCTGACATAGGAAATGATCTGCACAAACAAGAAGAAGAGAGAAACGGGATTCAGAAGGGATTCCAAGTGTTAGACTTTTCCATTTACCTTGGCACGAATCTGGAAATTTTCGCGCACTTTGTTGTTGAGTATGAGGTCGAGATAGCGCTGGCGGTAGCGCGTCTCCTTGTCCTTGAGTCCGAAGTGCAGATGCGGCAGCATGTGCAGGCAGGGGGACAGCAGCTTGATCTCCGTGGGCATGATGGAGAGTTCGCCCTTCTTGGTCTTGCCCGGATGCCCCTTGACGCCGATTATGTCGCCGCGCCGCAGCTTGGCCGTGTCCGGCTCGAAGGCGGCCTCCGGCTGGTACGATTTGGCGCTGGCCATCACCTGAATCTTGACGCCCTCGCCGCGCAGATCGTAGAAGATGAGCTTGGCCCCCGACTCCCGAATGGCGTGCACGCGGCCAGCCACGCTCAGGGTAACATTCTCCAGGGTCTCGCCGTCCGTCAGGCCGGCATACTGCTCAATGAAGTTCTCCAGGGAGATGCTGACATTGAACTTGTGTGGATAGGGATGCGTGTCCGGCGACTGCTTCAGCTCCTGGACGGCGGCCGAGCGCAGCTTGAAGTACTCATTGGGGGAGATCTCCTCCTCATCGGCGGCAGCGGACTTCTTCTTCTGGGCACCCTCCTCAGCAGCCGGAGCAGCCGCCGCACGGATGGCCTCCTTCTCGGCCTTCTCCTTGGCCTTCTGCTCAGCCTTCAGGCGGCGCTTCAACTCACTGCAAAAAGGGTCAAAGAGACAAAACGAAATCAATAAGGGAGCTGCTCTCCAAGCGATGCCTCCAAGTCACCCACAGTTTGGTCCGTTTGCTGGGTGCCAACTGCAGGCCGCTCACATGGTAGCCTCTGAGATTGGCCACTGGCATCGCCGCTGCATGGCCAAAGCCGACCGCACACGTCACTGACACTCTCTGCAGCTGCCTCAGGGCACAGCGAGCCAGCATTTTATTGATGCACTCAGTCGGTACTTTGCTGGGACGTTGCCACACAACCCAACCAACGACTGCGGCTGACGGCGCCTCGACTTAACCTCACTTGTGTGCTTCGTTGGCCAGCGATGTGGATGCGGATGTGGATGAGCCTCGGCTGGTCTGTTGGTCTGTGGCGTCGTGCGATTCTTGCCAGTCCGTACTTACTTCTTGGACAGTTCTCCTGCAGCAGCCATGCTGTTCGATTTTGCGGATTTTGGAGCGCGAGCGCGGAAACAAAAATGCGAAGCAGTGTGACCGCGGATGTTTCGACAAAATATACCGCCTGGCACTGAAAAATGTATACCGAAATATACCTTGTCATTATCAAAATATACCGTAAATATATACTGACGGACACGAAAAGATGTTGATATACCTAAATTTTGATATTGGGTTTAATATTACTAGCTAGTTAGGCCTCTCAGCCCTAAACAAATTATTTTATCCAATTCGTCTATAAATTTTTTACAAGATGGGCTAGTTTTCAGAACTCCATTTTGTATAATTTGAGCTCGATTTCGACATTAAAATATCCAGTAGAATATATATAATATACCGTAAACGGTCACCATGGTCTGCGTGTCAGAAATATACTCCCTTTGAAAATACCATATTCTGTGGCAGTATACCAGAGTACCCCTAATCTGGTACAAACTGAACTATCTGGCAGCTTTTTGAACTGGCATATGAAGTTGGCTGCGCTCAAGTTAACTTCCGACGGCAGACAGTTTTTTCAGTCATTCAATTTCCGAATTCCAAAGTGCAAGGAACATCAGCCATCGGCTCTCAAACAAATACATTTTTCTAAGTGAAGTTTTCTTTTGGTGAAAATAGTGATCAAATTCTAATAAAAGTCGACCATCTGTCTGGCCATCTATTGCTGAGTGAGTTATTCTTTCTGATTACTCCGCTTTTTGTGTGTGTGTGTGTAAAAAATTGTGTTGGGACCTGCAAAATCATTTAAATCTATTAATTCGTATGTCTTCCGAGAACTTACGCATGGATCGCATTCTAAAAGAAAGAAACAAACATTATTTGGTGGTTTTTCCTTAAAAAATTCTTGTTTTTTTGTGTTTTAATGCATGTGTGCGTATTTGTGTATGTGTGGGTATCATTTCACTTGCAGGAAAATATATATAAGCAGGTAATATATGCGTGGATAGCGTTGAAAAAGAAATAAACGAACATTTTGTGCTAATTGTTCATGCAAAACTCTAGTTTTTGCGTGTTTCAATGTATGTTTTTGTGTAAGTGTGGGTAACTTCTCATGTGTAGGCTGTAAGAGAGGAAAGCGAAAACGGCCATTTTGCATAACAGATTCCAGCAGTTTCTTCTTTATTCGTACATACATACATGTGTGTGTGTGCAAATTTTTGTCAAAGCTGTCAAAATGAACTGGCGACTTTGTGAACTGGCATAGCATGGTATGAAGTTGGCTGCGCTCAAGTTAACTTCCGACGACAGACAGTTTTTTCAGTCATTCAATTTCCGAATTCCAAAGTGCAAGGAACATCAGCCATCGGCTCTCAAACAAATACATTTTTCTAAGTGAAGTTTTCTTTTGGTGAAAATAGTGATCAAATTCTAATAAAAGTCGACCATCCGTCTGGCCATCTATTGCTGAGTGAGTTATCCTTTCTGATTTCTCCGCTTTTTGTGTGTGTGTACAAAATTGAGTTGGGACCTGCAAAATCACTTAAATCTATTTATTCGTATGTCTTCCAAGAATTTACGCATGGATCGCATTATAAAAGAAAGAAACCAACATTATTTGCTGATTTTTCCTTAAATTCGTGTTTTTCGTATTTCAATGCATGTGTGTGTATTTATGTATGTGTGTGTATCATTTCACTTGGAAAATATATATATGCAGAATATATATGCGTGGATCGCGTTGAAAAAGATATGAACGAACATTTTGTGCAACTTTTCCATGCAAAACTCTAGTTTTTGCGTGTTTCAATGCATTTACATATGTGCGTGTTTTTGTATAAGTGTGGGTAACTTCTCATGTGTAGGCTGTAAGAAAGGAAAGCGAAAACGGCCATTTTTCATAACAGATTCTAGCAGTTTCTTCTTTATGCGTACATACGTGTGTGTGTGTGTGCGCAAATTTTTGTCTAAGCTGTCAAAATGAACTATCTGGCGACTTTGTGAACTGGCATATGAAGTTGGCTGCGCTCAAGTTAACTTCCGACTGCAGACAGTTTTTTCAGTCATTCAATTTTCGGATTCCAAAGTGCAAAGAACATCAGCTCTCGGCTCTCAAACAAATACATTTTTCTAAGTGAAGTTTTCTTTTGGTGAAAATAGTGATCAAATTCTAATAAAAGTCGACCATATGTCTGGCCATCTATTGCTGAGTGAGTTATTCTTTCTGATTACTCCGCTTTTTGTGTGTGTGTGTGTGTGTGTGTAAAAAATTGTGTTGGGACCTGCAAAATCATTTAAATGTATTCATTCGTATGTCTTCCGAGAACTTTCGCATGGATCGCATTGTAAAAGAAAGAAACGAACATTATTTGGTGGTTTTTCCTTAAACAATTCTTGTTTTTTTGTGTTTCAATGCATTTGTGTGTATTTGTGTATGTGTGGGTATCATTTCACTTGCAGGAAAATATATATAAGCAGGAAATATATGCGTGGATCGCCTTGAAAAAGAAATAAACGAAAATTTTGTGCTACTTTTCCATATAAAACTCGAGTTTTTGCGTGCTTGTGTGTGTTTTTGTGTAAGTGTGGGTATCTCTTCATGTGTAGGCTGTAAGAAAGGAAAGCGAAAACAGAAATTTTGCATAACAGATTCTAGCAGTTTCTTCTTTATTCGTACATACATACATATGCATACATATACATACATACATATACATACATACATGTGTGTTGTTGCAAATTTTTGTCTAGTTCCAAAATGAACTTAAAAGGAACCATTGCATGAATTCATTGAAAGCTGCATGTCACATGAGTAGTTCACTTAAAATATATATTTTACTTACGTGTCGGATCTAAATTCTGATTTCAGAAGGAACTTGAACTAAGGAACGTTCGATAGATATATCGTGTTTGTATTTGAAGCTCATTGTCATTATCATTATCTTGAGAACCAAAGACGAAGTCAGCCGCCTCCCATAATAATTTATCTGGCTATCAATAATTTCATTGGAAATTCAAAAATCATTTTGCATCATCTACTAACGTACTAACGTACGCAACGCAAGACATTTTGGTCGAACATAGTTCCAATTAGAAGGCTGATCTGATCAAATTTAAGCAACTTTTTCAGGTGAGTCTCCCCATTGTTGGTCCTGTCCTCCTCACTCTGCCAGTCATCCGCGGTTTTGTGTGGGATGTCTCTTGACGTGAAAGTTATTTACACGCCACCCTCCGTTGTCTGAACTTTCACCCTCCATGTGCACCGTCCTCCAGCCAGTCGAAGGCCTGAAGGTATGAAAGTGCTTCCGATCGTCGTTGGCATGTCAAAGTTGTTTCCATTTCCAAAAAGGTCTCAAACAGCGAAATTTCGCTTCTATCGTTTCAGCTAAAAGGTAGCAGACGGAGAATCTGCAGACAAAATGTCAGACATAATTGGAACAATTGAAATGAACCAGGTATCGCGTTCACTTGAAGAAGGGAAAGGGCAAGCTCCTACTGCCGCATGTGCCGAGAATCCTGAACCATTGGAGGCAGCTCCAGAAAATTTGACCAAACGTCCAAGGCTGTCTATCTGTCTGGAGCAGGAGGGAGTAGATAAATTAGAAGAATTAGAGGAATTAAAAGCGGCTACAGCTATAGCCAACTTGGAAGCCCAATCTCAGAATATCAACAGTGATCTAAAGGAAAAGACAGAGCAAGAAGAGAGCTCTCAGAATATCAACACTGATGTTATAGCAAAGGTTTATCAAGTTGAAAGCTCCGAGTCTGATGACGATGACGAAGAAGAAGACGACGAGGAGAGCGACGAGGATGAGCAGGACGAGGAGAGTGAGGATGAGGAAAAACTAGACAAGTTAGAAGCATCGAAAAAGGAAGACGAGGACGTAAATAACGATAAGGACAAGGAACAGGACGCCGAAGACGAGGATAGTGAGGACGAGGTCGACGAGGATGAGCAGGACAAGGAGAGTGAGGACGAGGAGGAGGAAAATGTAGAAAAGTTAGAAGCATCGAAAAAGGAAGACGAGGACGTAAATAACGATAAGGAACAGAACGCCGAAGACGAGGATAGTGAGGACGACGATGACGACGACGACGAGGATGAGCAGGACGAGGATGCGGAGGACGAGGAGGAGGAAAAGGTAGACAAGCTAGAAGCATCGAAAAAGGAAGACGAGGACGTAAATAACGATAAGGAACAGGACGCCGAAGACGAGGATAGTGAGGACGAGGACGATGACGATGACGATGACGACGACGACGAGGACGATGACGACGAGGATGAGCAGGACGAGGAAAAAGTAGACAAGCTAGAAGCATCGAAAAAGGAAGACGAGGACGTAAATAACGATAAGGAACAGGACGCCGAAGACGAGGATAGTGAGGACGAGGACGATGACGACGGGGACGATGACGACGAGGATGAGCAGGACGAGGATGCGGCGGACGAGAAAAAAATAGACAAGCTAGAAGCATCGAAAAAGGAAAACAAGGACGTAAATACCGATAAGGAACAGGACGCCGAAAACGAGGATAGTGAGGACGACGAGGATAAGCAGGACGAGGAGAGTGAGGACGAGGAGGAGGATGAGGATGCGGAGGAGGAGGAAAAAGTAGACAAGATAGAAGCATCGAAAGAGGAAGATTCAGACACTGACTTGTAATTCACGGAACCAAAGTCCAGACGCAACTACAATTCTCAACACTTAATGGTGCGCCGCTGTACCTCAGACTCAAAAACGATCTCCAAATCCATTTAAAACTCAATTTTAAATTGTTTGCTATTAGTTTTAACAATATTAGAACAATAAAAATATACATAAATAAGTATGTATAACCATCAACAATGAGACCAGCAACCAGCATAAGCCTCTGTTTAATCAACTCTCAAATCTACCAATTAACACAAACTGTTTCAGGAATCCCCATACTTTTCAGCATTCTCGTTTCAGAGACTGTTTGATGTATCAAAAATCTGTTATATAACGGTTAAAAAGTGACCGTATTTATGTAGACGATCTGGCAATATCCGTAATTAGCTGTGCCAGCCCGATGCAGTCGATAGGCACGGCACGTTGCGTTCATCGATGGCGCCATCGGGAGTTGGCCACCTCTATTCCCAGCTGTCCAGCCAAATTCTTGAATTTTTTTTTTAATTATTGCTGTTTATTGAGTAGTGTAGTTTTTATTAATTACGAGGTGAAACAGGACAATCTGGGGGGGGCGCATCCATGAACTGAGTCCTTTGCGCGAGTGCCCATTGTGTAAATGGGGGGTGGCAACGCAATGCGTAGCAAAAAAATCTATAAATCAAAAGTAGAGCAGCAGCAGCAGCAGCAGCAGCAGTTGGTGTAACAGTGGGCGGAGGAGGAGGAGGAGCTGGGGGCATCCTTGTCATGGAACCCACAGTGGCGGCGGCAGTGGCCCTGACTCCGTTGGTGGCATGCTGCCTGGCAGACAGGAATGCAGCGGATGTCGTGCCCCGCACAGCCATGCCCAGTTCAGGTGATGCTGATGATGATGATGACGATGATGCTAAGGATGATGCGTTCTACGAGGCTCGCAATGGCAACGAAAGCGACGAGCTGGAGCAGGCCTTCCAAAGTGCTTTAACACTGGCCAACGCTCAACCGGAGGTGAGCATCAGCGATGCGGACGAGCAGCTGCAGCCGGCCCCCGGTGGTGGCAGTGCCTCTGCCTGTGGCCCTGCTGCCTTGATGGATGCCCCTGTGCTGATGCGCAGGAAACGTGATAATTGTAAGTATTTTTTGCCCTGCCCTGCCCATGCCCTGCAAGCGATATATGTATGTATATATGTTTCGATCCCCCTTGCAGCCCCAAAAGACTTGACACACAACGAAGAGGGCTTGCCAGCACAGGATCCGAAGCCAGACGCGGAAACCGAAGTGGAAACGCTGCTTAATAAGGCGCCACGGAGCCATCAGACGCTACTCTCAACCAAATCCTGCGAAACGCCAGCCAACCACTCGACGCTCTCGCCCACAAACTCGTACAACGGCAGCATCGGCAGCGATGGCAGCAGCAGCGTCGGCGGCGGAGCACGGCGCAAGTCCTGGACCCTGTCGCCCCAGAGCGGCGGCTCCACGCCCCTCAGCGGAGCCAAAAAGAAAACAAAATCTGTGTCTGCGGTTCCTGGAGGAGCAGCTGCTGCAGTTCCATCCGGCTGCTCCACGCTGTCCAACGCCAATGGCGAGAGCTTCAATCTGTGGGTGGCCCGAGAGTGCTTCGAAACGGTGCCCGCCGAGATGGTGGACAGCCTCAGCGTGGCCGAGGTGGATGAGGAGGTGGAGGACGAGGAAGACGAAGAGGCGGCCGCCGTGGAGAGTCTACTGGGGGCAGCCGCCGCCCTGCAGGCCAGCACCAATGTCCAGCGCCGACAGAAGCACCACCAGCATCTCCGCCAGCCCTCGCCGCCCCAGCACCGACCACTGGAGCGATCGTGGCAGCCCCGAGCCGTCGGCAGGGAGCTCAAGCTGCAGGGCGATGTCTTCAAGTTCGACATCCTTGACACGGACGAGCGTCTGGCGGAGGAGGGTGGCGCCAGCAGCAGCAACAGCACCACTCCCCAGCACAACTCGCCGCTCTCCACGCCGCCCGTGCGCTTCAAGCCGCTGATCAAGAAGAAGATCGGCCCGGACAGCTACATCAACACGATCAGCACGCAGAAGGTGCCAGTGGCGACGGGATCGGGGGTCCAGCAGAGCTACGAGTTCCCCCCCACCTTCCCTTTGGGCGGGAGCTCGGCCGGAGTGTCCGTCAGCTCCTCGCCGAGCAACAACTCAGCGTTGAGCAGCAGCCAGCAGCAGCATCAGTTCCCGTATTTGCGCCAGCATCGTCCCCTGTCCCGAGCCCTGTCCAATGGCAAGGCCGCCTCCACGTCCGCGGAGGAGCAGCACCAGCAGCAGCATTTGGTCTCCTCGCCGCGTCTGTTGCTCTCGCCCAAGCACCAACGGAGTCCTCCCTCCGGCTGTTCCACTAGAAGTGCCTCGCCGCTGGATGTGGCCGCCAGTCCGGAGCAGCACTCACCCACGCGGGGTCGGGGCGTCGGTGGCGTCACTGCCATGGCGGAGACGACGGCGGTGGCGGCGGCTCCCGGCACGCCCACTTTCCATGGCCACCAGCGACCACAGCAGAGGCTTCTCAAGCGAGTGGGAGGAGGAGCGGGAGCTACGTCCACTGCAGCAGGAGGGGGAGGATCATCCTTGATCTGCCCACCCACGCCCACACACCATGCCCGGCGGCATGCCCGCCTTCAAGCCGTCACTGCCAACTCCAGCCATCCGGCGGAGTGCTCCTCCAGTCCTCCCCCATCTAGTCAATTGGATTACATCTACCTGCAGACGACGCCGCCTGGGTCGCCAGCGGCCCTGGAGCCCGCCGCCGAGGAGATGGTCCACATCAGCAGCACCCGCCTGCCGTCCATTCCGGAGCGTACAGCAGCAGCAGCAGCGGCGGCGGCGGCAGCGGCAGCTGCTGCAGCAGCCGGAGGAGCCCTAATAGAGTCCGGAACAGGAGTCGAAGCCGGGGGACTGGGCGGGGGAGCTGGAGAGCCGCCACTGCCACCGGCGTGGGAGGCGCGCATGGACAGTCACGGGCGCATCTTCTACATAGACCACACCACACGGACGACATCCTGGCAGCGACCCGGAGCGGCGCCCAGCGGGGGACCTGCGGGACGCGAGCAACACCATCGCCAGCAGCTGGACAGGCGCTACCAAAGCATACGGCGGACCATCACCAACGAGAATCGACTGGCCGTCTACAGTCTGCCCCCGCCGCCCCGGCAGTCGAATGCAGCGGCGGCGACGGCGGCGGCAGGGGCAGCGGCCCCCACTACTGCTGCCGCAGGTGCCGCCACTGCAGCGAGTGCAGCGACACCAGTCGCCTCCTCGGACATTCATCCGGCGATACTGATGCTCTGTCGGCCCGACTTCTACTCCCTGCTGCACACGAACGAGGCGGCACTGACGATCTACAACCGGAATGCCGCCCTCAAGCACATGGTGATGCGGATCAGGCGGGACCCGCAGTGCTTCCAGCGGTACCAGTACAACAAGGATCTGGTGGCCCTCGTCAACACGTTCGCCCAGATGGGCCGCGAGCTGCCCTCCTGCTGGGAGACGAAGCTCGACCAGTCCGGCAAGCAGTTCTTCATCGACCACCAGCACCGGAAGACCTCCTTCATGGACCCACGCCTGCCTGTCGAGTGTCCCCGTGTCGTGCGCCATCGCCAGCAGCACCAGCATCAGTCGTACTTCCATCCTGACCTCGTGGACGGCAATTGCCTGTCGGCCACCAGTGGCCACATCAACTCCAGCTCTGGCTCTGCCTCTGCCTCGGCTGCCTCGTCCTCCCTGGGCTCGGTGTCGGGTGTGCCGCCCCTGCCACCGCCACGTCCCTCCTCCAGCAGCGGCATCAGCGGAAGGAGCAGCCATGGTGGCCATGGGGGCAGCCACAACTGCACCACAACGGCGGCCATCGGCTGTGCATACAGTCTGGGCGGAGCAGCGGGCGGAGGCGGAGCCACTGCAGCCGGCTACGAGGATGTGCCCATTGCCTACAACGAGAAGGTGAGTGAATAAAACAGTGGCTCCATATGGCTCTACATGCTTGATTATCGATTCCAGGTCATTGCGTTTCTACGCCAGCCCAACATCCTGGAGATACTGCGCGAGCGCCAGGGACAGCACACGGTGTCCCGTTCGTTGCGCGAAAAAATCAATGTGCTACGAGTGGAGGGCGTGCCGGCTCTAGAGCGGCTGGGTCATGACCTACAATTGACCATTTTGCTTAGGTGAGTGCGAAGCCAATGACCCGTGACCCCATTTAACACTGAATTCACTCAAAGTGAGAGCAAACTCAAATCGTTCGACAGGGCGGGAATGGAATCATTTGCAGTGGATTACTTATAAGATGAAACTACTCGCATAGGAAAGGTTAAATGAAATGCGCTGGGCCGATGGGGTTTTACACACCCTACTCGAAGTGCCAAGGGGTATATTGTATTTGTGGTAGAAGTGGATGTGTGTAACGGACAGAAGGAAACGTTTCCGACCCCATAAAGTATTTTTATTCTTGATCAGCATCAATAGCTGAGTCTATGCCTGTCTGCGCCTAGTGCTCAGAGACTATAAGATCTAAAGTAGAGTCGCGGCCACAGCAGCGACTCACAACGTTCCCCCTTGTTTAAGAGGTTTTTAGAGGCATCGACAAAATTTAAATCACGCAATACCTTTAGACAGTTCCAATTGAGATTGATGCTATGTATATTTCAGGTATTATGTTTTTCTTTCTTTCGTACGATCTGCTTGGGAGCGGCCCTTAAAGCAGATGAAATATTTTTGGATATAGATTCAACGAATTCCAAAGACCACAAAAGCTCAAACCCCGATTTGGTCTACAGCTGATGAGTGACGCACCCGCACATGCATCCGCATCTACTTCCACCTCCACCTGCACTTGACGAAGGTTCCCCACATCCGACATCCACCTGGCCGCCTGCAAATTGCATGCATTGTAGTGGTGGAGTGGTGCGTCATTGTCTTGATTTGGTTGCAACTTTGATTTTGAATTTGTTTTGGTTTGGTTTTGATCGATTTGTTGTTGCTGTTGGTGGTGTCGTTGTGGTGCAGCAGCGGTCCTGCTTGAGTGCTTCTCTGATATATTGTACTCATAAAACTCATGGCACTACTCATGCCACTGCCACTGCCACTCATGTACTCGTACTCGCATGTTTAATTGCTTTTGAAAATTGTGGCCGAAGGTTGTTGGCTAATTTTCCAAAGCATCAAACAACACCTCCAAACGGACAGGCAAAAGGCAGGCAATCCAAAGCAAAGCAAAGCCCACAGCCAAGGTTAATTCATGTACCCTCCCCCCCCCTCCCACTCCGTGGAATACAAGTGCTGTGTTTATTGTCTAATTGGGCGTGTGTTTCTTTTAAAAATGAATTCTTAAATTCAACTTGGACCACAAATATTGAGGAACTGCCGCTGCATTCGGGCCGGGCCATTCGCCTGCATTTATTGACCTTAATCTTAATCTAAAATCTAAATCTGAGTTTACCAGCAATTTCTAATTCCGATTTGGATACCGATTGAGCCGTTTAATTGCATTTCAATTTCAATTTCAATTAGCCCAAATGTCGCGCTTCATTGCCTCCCCCCACACACACACACGCACACATCCAACATGCAGCAATGTCAGCGTAATGTGGCATGAGCCGTGGGAGTTTTGATATTCATTTGAAGCTGGAAATTGACGCATGGAATTTACAGAGGGGCAGCTTGTGGCAGCATACTTTCTGGGGCAGCTCCATGTAGGAAAAAAAAAGCACCTCCTGTATATTGATTTCCACTGCAGAGATATTTCACTGTATGTGCTAGATTTGACTCTCTTTCCGATCTCCATTCGTGTTGTATATCGTGTACCTACTCAGTCAATCTGCATTCGGCTCTCCTATTACTCACATATTCCGATATGTATTCTGTTGGACTTTTTTCTGCTGCCTGCCTGCCCCCCTTACACTCTCTCTCTCTCTCTCTCTCTGCACTGTCTCCTCCACTGTGCCTGTCTGCGCCTCAATGAGCAATTAATAAGCGACGACTAAGAGTCAGCAAATACTCGAGAGTACCACACGATAGTATCTTGTATCTCGTGTCTCGTATCGGTTGTACATGCACATCACATAGGTATAGGTATAGGTATAAATACACTCGTATTTGTTTATTGTTTATCCCTCGCATTTCGCCAGTTGGCTAAATTATCATTTGTGATGATTTGTGAATATGATTTAACAGAAAAACGATGCATAAATACGGGTAACTCGTACTCTTGTCTCGCCTCGTCTCGTAGCTAAATAAACAGAGTTCGTCTATACAAAAAAAAAAAGAGAGGGTGTTGGGTTTGCTGGCGAGGAATTTTGGGATATTTTTTTGGGGTTTGGAGTTTAGGATTTTCTGATCTGTTGATTGCTTTATGGTGGGACATTCCACTTTCGGACGCCGCCACGCCTCCCACTCGGACATCTGAGACAGGGGCAAAGCAGCAGCAGCAGCTGGCTGCTGCCCCATAAATACGGGACAGGGGGCATCTTCATCTAACCACACTAATCCCCCGTTCGCCGACCCAGCACACACACACACACATCAAATTTAACCCAATTCCAAATTCCAAATCAACCATAATTTATTGGCCAAACGGGGCACAAATTTGAGTATCCCTCCACTTCAAGACTCTGGCCTCAACTTTAGCTGCGGTGCGGTGCCGCCGGCTCCACACACAAGTCCAGAAAGTGGGGGTGTGGCTGGGCTGGGCAGGGCAGGGCAGGGCAAGCAGTGTCGTCATCATCATTGAACTTCGCTGAAGCGTTGACAAGTTTCAGTAATTTGCTATTACTGGCTGCCGCAGTTGCGGGAAGTTTGAAATGGAAATGGAGTTGACGTTCGTATTTGTATTTCAAATTTGACCCATAGAAGGAGAGTTTCGCCTTTGTTATACCCTTCCATCAAGCGGGCATTCATCTTTTGGCCAGAGATGTTTGCAAACACATAACGCGAAATGTTCAACCTTAAGCAGAGTCCATCTACTATTCGTGTGAGAGTTCCCTTACAGGCCATGGGCCATGGGCTATCCTCCTCAATGGCTGCTCTGGAGAGTGGATGGGCTCAGCTGTTGGGTTAGGGCATCTGAAAGCTCGACCCGCGGCAGCCTTCCTTGCTTGTGGCCCTTGCTCTGTTGATTGTTTACAGTTCATTGGGTTTTTGTCGACGGACGCGCGCGCATGCGTGCAGTTGGATACAATTCGGAGGCACACAGACTGAACAGTGATATGCGTCTGTCTGTCTCTGTCTGCCTGTGTCTGTCTGCTTGTCTGTTGTGGCTTCCGTTTTGGGGCGTGCTTGATGCAGGGCGTGGTGGCCGCCGCTGGGTTAAGCGATGATCAGCGAACAATTACAAGCATAAACATGGCCAAAGTATATTAAATGGAGGGTTGGGGCAGCTTAAGAAGAGATCCCTAGTGCCATGCACTTGCCTTTACCCTCTATTTAACATGCCTTGACCATGACCAACGCCACACACACACACACATACACACAGAGGCTAGCCACTGCTCTGCCATGCAGCCGAGCCGCTGCCGCTGCTCTGCACTGCTCTGCTCTGCTCTCTCAGCTGAGTGCACTCCTCGTGGGTGGTGAGTCAGGAGACAGAGCCAGAGCCAAGAGAGAGTGACAGAGAGAGAGGCAGAACGGGTCGTGTCATGCAGGCCACAGCTGACAGCAGCGGGCACACTGGCGCTAGATAATTACCCCCTGATCTTTGCTCTCTCTCTTGGCCTCCCTCTCCCTTCGTTTATGCGATGGTCTGCTGCCAGGCAGCCCCACTGTGGAGTGGCGTGCACTGCCGCCTCTGCGCCAACGAAGGCGTCAGAACTTCGGCAGATTCTGATTCTGCTTTGTCTTCGGCTGCGCGCTGCACTCGCGAACGCTGCTAACCGATCTATCGATCGATCGTCTTGTTTCGCTCGCACTGCAAGCAGAACAAAACAAAAACAGAAAATAATTCAATAATATTCTTTGCCGCCTAAATTCAATTTAATTTTCATTTCATATTTTTTGGCTGGGCGGTGGGAAAAATGCCGCCACCATTCTGCAGTTGGCAGGCAGGCGTATCAGAAGGAGCATATCATATCAGAAGAGCGCAATAAAGCAGCAGCAGCAGCAGCCAGAAAAGCATAAAGCCACCCCTCTCTCGCCGGGAGCCGACAGAAAGCGAGAGTAAACTCTACTCTGCCCTGGGCTTAGGGGGTCTCTGTGTGTCTCTTTTATCTATGACTCCCCAACTAAAACCAACGCCGGTTCAGTTCCGTTTGCTTTGGCTCGCGCCTCGCTCTCTCTTCCGCTCCGCTCCATGCGACGTACGCCGTGCCGTTCGACGTTCAGCGTTCAGCATTCGATTTGCGTAGCTTTCAATCCACAGAAGCAGCCAAAGCGGCAGAAGCATTTCTGTTCCAACTGTCAAAGCGCGTGCAGGTCGTTCTGACGATACGATCCCGACGATCCAATTCCACCCCCAAAAACTGTTCATATTCCGTGCAGTGCATTAACCGTTATCCATAGATTATTTGCGTGTGTGTGTGTGTGCCCCGTTCCGTTGTGAAAATATATCCTGGAGATCTCGATCCCAGGTGAACGGAATGGTTAACTATTCAGTGCTTCAACCTTTTGCGAGCGCAACAAAATGGGATTTCTATCGAAGGCTGCCTACATCGTGTGGGCCGTGTAAGTACCAGCCAACCATCTACCCTTACCTCAACCCCCCTTTGCCCTTTGCCCTAACACTTAAGCCCTAGAATCCCCGTGCTGGGTTTACTCATCATTCTTGTTGTATGTATGACGTTCGAGGTGTGAGCAAATGCGCCGTTAGATTACATATTTTACGTACATGTGATGAGGATGAGGTGAGACGGATGATCCACACTCTGTTCTGTAATGTGTTTATTTTTCTTTTTGGTTGAAGATTTCAAAAGCTTCCTTGGCTTCCTGGGCAAAGCTTTTGCAGCAGCCCTAGGATGCCGGAGAATAACTGTTAACTCATTAAATGTGCTTCGGCTGCAAGTTAAGTTTGTAGGCCTCATAATTTGACTTTGTAGAAAGGAACTTTCTGTAGTTTTGCAGTCCGTGGGAACAACAGCATCAGTTGCAGCGTTCGTCCTGTCGTGGCAATCGCACACCCTTCCTGTTCTGTGCGTGTCCCAATGAATGGTTGATCGTATCAAGTACGATTATTGCCTTAAAGTGTCATATGAAACGCAGTTCTTACAGAACCCTTTTATTGCCAAAGTTTCTTCCATCCATCCCCCAGGGAATATAAATAAATATAATATAAACAAATATAAAACAGAAAACAGAAGCTTAATGATGTTTTGTATTGACTTAGGTCCCCCCCCCTATCCCCGTGTGATTGAAGCGCACTCTTCCAAGAATCTTCGCTCTTCCATCCCTTCGGAATGTTCCCACCGAATCATGAATTTACATACATCTCATTGTATTCCTTTGTATCTGTATCTCATAACTGCTTGGGCATGCAAAACAACATACATACACATATATACATATATCCACATCCTGTCCGTCAGTTGCATCCGACTTTTGTTGACTATCTCTTCCTCCTCCATTGGCTCCCTCGTAAAGCTGCCCCCCAGCATTACTGCTCCATTGAGAGCGATTCCGTATGCTCTGCACTTTTTGGCGGGCCACTGTATCCGAAGGCGTGGATCGAGTTCTAGCGATGTACTCGCGGCTCCCATTCCATTCCCACGTTCTCACTTCTCATAGACCAGACGCGAAGAACTGTTTGCTGTCGGGTGGGCACACAGGCTGCAGGGGTGGGAGGGGGGAGGTACTCATCTCTTGGGTTACAGGAATGGAATAGCAAATGGAATGCCGAGTAAACAATTCCAACAAATTGCCCATTCCCCTTTCCCCAGAGTGATGTGATGGCGCAATCCCCTAACGTACACTCATTCTATGCTACATTTTTGTTGCCCAGTATCCAGTATCCACAGTCTCCAGTTGCCCGAACATTTTTTTAGTTCTTTTCAGATATCAATCGGTACCCGATTCGATTCAAGTGGTTTCTTCGTGTTACATTCTTGTGGCCTTTCTTTCCTTTTGAGGCTCCTAATCAGGGGTTTTTGTTTCTGTATTTCTTTTTGGGGGTTGGTCAATCGTTCGATTGGATGTTGCAACAATGTTCTTATAGTTTAACGATCGCCCCTTCCCCCCCTCCCCCACAGTACTAGTGGCTGTCGCAACTTCTCAGATAACTCTTCTGATTCACTTAGAACCCAGCCAGTGGGGAAGTTCTGTCTCACTCATTCGGGGCGGCAGAGTGCCGAAATGGGTTAAGGCTCGCTTGCATTATCATAGGCCTCCTCCCTCCCCCGTTCGCCCCGTTCGCTTATCAGCTTATCAAACCCACTCCCAATCGACGCCACCAGCCACCACCCACAGTCCAGAGTCGGTAAGTCGGTCGGTCGGGGACTGCTGCAGTTCAAACAGAGCCCGAAATCAGTCGCCTGCCGTCGTCGTCTGCCCTCGTCGTCTGCCTCTTCCGTGTATCAAATATCAAATATCGTGAAATTGGGAATTGATTTTAGTAAAGTTTTTGCCCCAAGTGTTTTCTGTTCGTGTGTTACTTTTTTGTTGCTGTTGTTGCTGTTGATGTTTTTATTTTTTTTGGTGGATTTAGTGCATCGCTAATTGAGAATCCATTTGGGTTTTACAACCCAAAAACCCGCCAGGCCCATCAAATGGGTCTCTTCTCAAAGTTTGTCTACAACTTCCACATGTGGGAGCCGTAAGTGTTTTTTCTCTCTCTTTTTTGTTTACACACATATTATTGAAATCCCTTTAATGGCAATCATGTTCCAAATGTTCTTAAACCAGAGAGAATACTGATGGGGGGATACATTACATATTTGGGTAGTGCTGTGGAACCAGACGCAACAAGTTGCATGGCTATTCCGCTCGTAATATTCCGCCTATTTTTGGAGATAATTCTCATCTTTGCACACTTCCAACTATCCCTTCCTTAAGTTTCATTTAAAGTTTCTGGCCTCCCATTGATTATCGCAAACTACATAGCCATATCCATGCTTGAGCACCCTTCCCCCCTCCCCACCGGACATTTAAAGACCAACCAAAGAAGTCAGTGACCGAATGGGTGATTGCGTTATACATTTGTTTAATTATATGTATTATAGACACATCGTAGATATTCTTCCGTCATGAATGCGACGCCCCACCGCCCACTCCTACGCCCCACTTGTGGCCCTATCGCACACTGCCCCTCGAGAAACAACAATGGCCAGGCAGCAGTTCTTTGTGCAAGAAATGGTGTGATGACACCCCAGAACCCAACCCGAAGACACAATTTGCAGGCCTCTGTTTTGGCGCGACTAAAAACGCGTGCAATTTTCACATGGCTCTGTGCGCACGCGTTTAAAAACGCGTTCGTTTTGTTGCTGTTCAATTTTTTGGCGCGATTATTTTTGGCTACTTGGCTTTCATTTCTATTTAGATTGGCGTTAATTTCCAGCTTCCTGCTGTTTTCAGTTGCCAATAATTTGTAAAAATTTCATTCAATTTAAAAGTAATTTGACACGGGGGCATAGCCATAGCCATAGCTCCAGCAGATATATTTATGCGCCATAGACCCCCCTCATTAATTGATCAGTTTCCATTTCCAAAAATGAGCAATATTAATGAGAGAACGAGAACAGGCAGGGGCAGCAGTGGCAGGCAGCTCCAATTTGGAAATTAGTCATTTCCGAGGGGCGATAATTGCATGCAAAACTGTTGTCACTTTTGGGCCACCGCAGCAACCCCCCCCCTCTCAGACAGCGCACACCTCCCCACCTACCCACTCCCCGCCGATATGCGGTTGACCGTCATAATATTTCGTTATTAATTGGCCAATTTTCAATTTCAAGTTGAAGGCCAAAGTGGAAGCAAAAGGCGCAACAAAACAGCAATTTAAATTACGGATTACTGGCTACTTAGAATACTACTCATAGACAGATAGATAGACAGATTGATAGATACTCCATGCCATGCCATTCCATTCCATTCCCATTCCATTCTGTATTAGCTGCTGCCAATATAAAATTCACACCAATCGATAGAACGGCCCAAAAGGCCGCAGCTCTCAATTCTCTGTTGTGGCCACCAGCGAAGGTTATCGATCGATTGCATCGATTGAGATTGATTCTTCCGCTTTGTGGTTCCAAAGGGAACATTTCCGACTCTGAATCATCCCTGAAGAACCTTCATTCCTGGTCCCTGTATCTATCTACCCCATGCCATTCTGATGGGTGCTCTTCTCCTTGATGAATGAAAATGCAAATGTGCGGGGAGTACATTAATTCCCATGACAAATCACTTGCTCTTTCGACCCCATTCGCCGCTGTTGGTCATGATTTCATTGCTGAATGAATTCTTTGGAGTGATTCTGTCATTCATTTAGTTGCATGGAGGGGGCCAGCCACACATGCGATGAATTTAAGTGGAAATCTAACTTTGTTCCGCCTGTTGTGTGTCCTTGAGACTCCCAACCAAAAAGTGCAAGCAGAACTTCATCTGCTTCGCCATCCGCGCACTCCTCTCCTGGTCGAGTGTTTGCTTGCCAGCTAATCAATAGTCGGCTTAGTGGTCGGCGCACATGTGGCATAGCATCCATAAACGAGGCTCCACTTGCAATCAATTGCATCACCTCCAGGCACCACCTTCCCGCTGGCATCGAAGCATTGGGGAATGACGTCAGTCGCGTGTGGAAGTAGATTTATGGCACCACCAATCTATAAATGCTATCAACCTCCCACCACCACTCACACTCACACTCTTTCTACTCTTCCTTTGGTACAGCCTGTTCGAGCAGGAGATCATGAGCTATGTTCCTATTGAAGAGCGGAGTCCACAGGGCTCGCCGGTGCTCAGCTCGAGGATGCCGCAGCGTGCGCCGCCGCCCTTTCGGCGCGACTTTGAGGCCAAGCTGCGCAGCTTCTACCGCAAACTGGAGTCCAAGGGCTACGGCCAGGGGCCGCACAAGCTCAAGTAAGTGTTTCATGCCAAACAACCCGACAGCGAATCTAACAACGAGCCGCCGCCTCCCTTACAGATTACACATTCGTCGCAGCCACCTGCTGGAGGACGCCTTCCGTCGGATAATGTCTGCCAACAAGAAGGATCTGCAGCGCGGACGCCTGGCTGTGCTGTGGGACACTGAGGAGGGCCTGGACTACGGCGGGCCGTCGCGCGAGTTCTTCTTCCTGCTGTCGCGGGAGCTGTTCAATCCCTACTACGGCCTGTTCGAGTACTCGGCCAACGACACGTACACGGTGCAGGTGTCGCCGCTGTCGGCGTTCGTGGACAACTGCCACGACTGGTTCCGCTTTAGCGGCCGCGTCCTGGGCCTGGCCCTCGTCCACCAGTATCTGCTGGATGCGTTCTTCACGCGTCCCTTCTACAAGGCGCTGCTGCGGCTGCCGGTGGCCCTCAGCGACCTCGAGTCGCTGGACAACGAGTTCCACCAGTCGCTGCAGTGGATTCGGGACAACGACATCGGCACGGGCGTCGACCTGGGCCTCACCTTCTGCGTCACCGAGGAGCTGCTGGGGCGCGTCGTCGAGCGGGAGCTGAAGCCGGGCGGCAAGAACATGATTGTCAACGAGAAGAACAAGAAGGAGTATCTGGAGCGGATGATCAAGTGGCGGCTGGAGCGTGGCGTCCAGGAGCAGACCGAGTCGCTGGTGCGCGGCTTCTACGAAGTGGTCGACTCGCGCCTTGTCTCCGTCTTCGATGCCCGCGAGCTGGAGCTGGTGATCGCCGGCACCGCCGAAATCGACACCAACGACTGGCGCCTGAACACAGAGTACCGATCGGGCTACCACGACAACCACCAGGTGATCGTCTGGTTCTGGCAGGTGATCGAGCGGTTCAGCAACGAGCAGCGGCTGCGCCTGCTGCAGTTCGTCACGGGCACCTCCAGCATCCCGTACGAGGGCTTCTCGGCCCTGCGCGGCTCCACGGGGCCGCGTCGTTTCTGCATCGAGAAGTGGGGCAAGCCGAATGCCCTGCCGCGTGCCCACACCTGCTTCAATCGGCTGGACCTGCCGCCCTATCCCACACCGGAGCTGCTCTACGAGAAGCTGCTGCTGGCCGTCGAGGAGACCAACACGTTCGGCATCGAGTAGAGGAGAGGGGCTCTCCGCCGAGTGATATTCCCCTCCCCATCCATCCATTCCCTTTCCCTCCCCATTGTTACACCATGAGTACCCATGAGAGTACCCGTCCCCCAAGCATTCCGAAGCGCTTTATATTGATTTTAGAAGTTCTTTATAACTTGCCTAGTTATATTGTTAGTTATTGTACTGTAGTTATTTATAGGATTCCCCCTCCACAGGGATCCCAATCCCGATCCCATGACACCAGACAGCATCTCCTAAGCACCCCCTTTTGCCTTCGTTTGCCGTTTACTGAATTGATGTTACCTCAAGAGCAAAGAGCGAAGGTTTGCCGCCAGCGCCGCCAGTCACTAGTCCTAAGATTTATACACACGAACCAGAGACACCCCCTCCCTAGAACCTAAGAGTCCCACGCTTGACTTTGCCCCTAGAGAAATTTCCAGCCCCAGCCCCTAAGCAGAGATTAAAGCAAGCTTTTGCAGAGTAAAAACTCCAACGTAGTAGCATTCCCCCAAAGAGACACAGTGCTGAGAAAGGTAGAGAGAGAGAGAGAGAGCGAGAGAGCAATTCTATGCCAATACTTAACTAGCTTGTAATGTTGTAATTTCCTTAGCCTTAATTCCGCAAGAACTCAAGAGCGCTCCCCCCATTCCTTTTTGGCATTACAGATGGAGGATGGCATTGAGGAGCGCATAGGAATGTTAGTTATTACTACTATATACATTAATCCTTTTACTCCTTTTAACCCAAAAAGTACGTAAATTGTTTTTAGATTTACACAACCCAAAATCCCCAACCCCCCCCCTCCCCAAACTCCATAATGCAAGGGCGTTTCCACAGTTTGTGTGTGTGCTGGCAAAATGTAGATCTCTGACCAGGACGCACGCACAGAGGAGCCCCCGAATCGGGGATCTGTATGAGTATGGGTATAATATATATATATACACGAATTGGCTGCTGTTTTGCCAACAAACAAAGATGATTGATTATTGGTCCAGTGCGTTGCTTTGGCTTTATTGGTTCATTCGACGCATACAATTTATATAATAATAATACCGATTATTACGAGTATAAATTTAACAAGAAACTCGACACAACAAAACCAACATTCAACATTTAGCTAAATAATTGAACAAATTGTTTGGGATTATTATTGATCGAAAAGCAAAAAGCAAACGAAAAGGTGATTTCTTTAAATGTATTTTTGGCATTAGTTGAGTACGGAACGAGGACGCGACAGACAGAGACAGAGATAGAGAGAGAGCTGCTGGCTATGATGATTTGAAGAGAGACAGCAAAAGAGAAAGAGACAGAGAACAGCAGCAGAAGCTGAGAAAGAGAAACGCTTTTTGAAATACTTATATTGATAAACGACGAATGTGTTTTAATGAATTATTATTATTATTAATGTGCGTGTATTTATGAACAAATTAACTATAATTATAAACAAATAAATGTGAGCCTTTTACTTCAAAAGCAAATCCGTGTTCCCCCTTTTTATGGTTTAGGAGGAAGCATCGTGGCATCATATCTATTTGTTATTCATGGTAAAATTGAATTTTATTATACCCGTACTCAAAAAAGAGTTAAGGGCTATATTAGATTTGTGGTAAAAGTGGATGTGTGTAACGCAGAGAAGGAAAATTTTCCGACCCCATAAAGTATATATATTCTTGATCAGCAAGAATAGCCGAGTCGATATAGCCATGTCTGTCTGTCTGTCCGTCTCGATGAGCGCCTGGATCTCAGAGACTATAAGAGCTAGCGAAACCAAATTTAGTTTCCAGACTTATGTGATATCACACTGCTACAAGTGTATTTCAGAATTTCGCCCCGCCCCCTTCCGCCCCCACAAAAGACGAAAATCTGTGGCAGGCACAATTTTAAAGATACGATAAAACTAAAAAAGCAGTATCGTAGAGAATGCCCATATCTACTAGATTGCCAAATCTGAACTAGATCGAATCATAATTATAGCCAGAATGAAGAAATTAATTTTCTGTTGCTTCCCCTGCCCCCTCCTGCCCACAATAACGCAACTCATTTTCCTTCTCGCTCGCACACTCTGCCGCGTTCAGTGCGCGAGCAACCCCTAGCGGAGGAGATGTAGAATCTAAATGGTACATGTAGAATATACATGTTAGATGTAGAATATACATAGTATATTTAGATGTAGATAACAGATGTAGCAAAAAATTGTAAAATGTTTTTTTTTTTTTAATTCTAAATAATTATATGCTCAAAAATGTATATGCTGACTGAGTACGGGTATAAGTAGAGTCGCGTCCCCAGAAGCGTCTCACACGTTCCTTCTCGTTTTCAAATGATTTTGTTGATTTTTGTATAACAAAAGTTGTTGTAGTTTTTGCACAGTGACGCTGCCGCACTCACCGAGTATTTCTTGAACCAGATTATTAAGATTAGTTCGAGAACTTACCGCTCATTGTTGTGGGGGCGTAAAAGTGCTTCACTTTACTTTTTAGGCCTATTTTTAATTAATCACTATAACTCCGCTACTTGATGTCTGATCAGGATCTGCAGCGCCTTCACGTGATCGGCAGAATATACCCGATCATTTAGAGCACCAAGGATACAAAGGATATTGCCTGCTTACCATTTAATCGCTATAACTCTGCTATGTCCAGTGTCAAGCGTTTCTGTGATCGTGGGAACATTGGAACATCGAATACAAGATGATTGTGAATGCCGATCGACAGTCTGAATCCTTACGTTTTGGCCTATTTGGACGCGATACAGCGCCGCTATATTTTGCATTAAAATGCTGGTTTAATTTTTGTATGCTATATGTCGGCCGTTTTTTGACCGATCTGGGCGTGCTACGGCTTCTCGTGAGAGTATCCTCGATCCTCAAAAAAATAACGATACGACCTTTTTAATTGTATTTTGTTATCGATTTGAAATGTTATTGCCCGATTTGGACAATTCTGTGGCCTACAAGCCTCAGATGTCCTTGGTCCTGAGTGAGGACTATCATTTAATTTTTGGTTTGGCTTCTCATAATATTTGATCCTCCACAACCATGTCCCTTGAAAAATCAAACAAATTGGCTTCGTTTTCTATATATTTTATCCACAATTTTCTTTTGGTTTTCTCTTTTGCAAAATGCAATTTGCAGATACATCAATTTTCAGTTTGTTTTCTTGTTGTGTGAAATGGTAGCATATCACATACATACATACATATGTATGTGGCATGCCCCTACATATTATGCGACCATTTCTCTAGGCTCAGAGTTCCTTGTGTGTCTGGTGTGTGTGTGTGGGGTATGTATGTATATTGTAGATCTTTGCAGCCTGGTTGCTGCTGGGCCGCGCGTTTGTATGTACAGTGTCTCGCGTAAGTCTTGAGCTGGGGGATTAATGGAAGTACAAGTACATAAATGGTCTTCGGCTAGTCGGCTAGTAAGTACCTATCCCTATCCGTATCCGTATTCGCATATTCGGGTGTACATATGTATGGGTGTATATATGTATGCAATATGCAAGTATTCAATGGGTTGGGAAAGTGACGACAGAGAGAATAAAGGTAAGTGGGTAGATAGATAGATGCTAGTGGATAGATCTCTTTAATATTTGATTAAGGGTGGGCTGGATCAATCGATCTGGTTTCGTATGTCCTTGTGTGTATATGTGTATGTGTATCCGTGTGTGCACAGCAAAAGCTTTCAGAAAGCATGCAACACATCGGGGGAGTCAAGTACGTACTATATAGAGAACAGAGGAGGGATGGGGTGGTTGCGCGTACACTAAGCTGCTAATCAATATCGAACGGAAAACAAGGGCTTTTTCGTAACTCTAGCTACATTTTACATTACACTTGAAGAAATTTTGCTAATTTTCATTTTACATTACACATTTGTATGTGTGTAAATATCCGTAAGATACGTGGATACATTTTAAATAAATTCATTCATTCGTCCACCGACTCCTCGGGAGACATCCTTCTCCTACAAAAAATACAATATGGTAGTACATACTTATCTACGAGTACATGTTCACCTCTACATACACACATATGTATGTACGTATGTATGTATATATAGTGTTCGTGTTCTCTTTGGTTTTTGGATTATGCACTATATATATATGTATGTATAGGGTTTTTTCTTTACTGTCTCAAGCATTATAAAAATATATAGCATTTATCGATTGGGGTAGGGATCGGAATATTCATAGCATATTCAACCCATACTACAATCATCGTACTGGCTTCTTCTTGGGGAGGGGGGGTTTTAGGGTTACGGGTACGGTTACGGTTACGGTTACGAGTATTATGTATGTATTTTGTTTCCCTCGGAAAAGGCCTTTGAAAGAATTGAAAGTTGTTCTGTGGTGAGTAAAGTACTATCTTTGTTATATAGTACATAATATTAGCTTTCATATACATATGAGTATGCAATGTTATTCTTTGTTCTATCTGTATATCTGTCTGTCTGGCTGTGTGTGTGTGTGTGTGTGGATGAGGATAATCTTTTTGTATTAATTTCGGTTTCTATCTGTACTTCATTCTGCTCGCTTTTCCATTTATAATTTTTTCTCGGGGTTTGATCACAGCTTTTACAATTCTAATGATATACATGTTTTATGAGTGCGCGTTTTTATGAACTGGTGTGTTGTGTGTTTGTGTGTGGGGAAGGCATAGTGCAGCCAACAAAGTTTACGATTGTATACCATTTTGATACTCGTATATTTTAATTTTGTTTAAATTCGCACCAAAAAATACTGTATGCATATAGTACATATGTGATGAAAAAAAAAATAGTTGCCTCCATCTATTTTGTGTCCCCTCAATCGTTTTATATATAAATATGCATCTATATACTATATAAATATTTTATAATACTTTTTGCACAGAGAAAATGCATTTACACACAATATTACACATTAATATTTCCATTTGTATTCTTGTAATTTTCTTTAGTTTATTTATTTTTTAGTTTTTTTTTTAGTTTCAGAAAGCTGCCATTCGACTTAGATTTTGGTTTTGGTTCCGGCTACATACACAACAACCAACCAATATTTATTTTATTATTATATAGATATCGTTTTTCTTGATCGGTTTTTTTTTTTTTTTTTATTTAAAAAAGTAATACAAAATATGTTCATTTTTGTTTTCCTTTCCATTTACTGCATCCGTCTCCGTTTTAGCTTTTTCGGATTCAGATACAGATTCAGATCACGGATTCCGGACTTACTTGGCATATGAAAAGCGTAGGAAAGAAGGCGAAATTCTTTATATATTTTTCTGCTCTTTTCTTTATATGCGAAACGTCTTTTCCTCATCTAAAATTCTCTTCTTGTGTCTGTGTGTGTGTGTGTGTGTTTTTTTCTTTAGTTGGTAAATTG